AGAAAAAATCCACGCGGACCAGGCAGCGAAGGATGCGGGTTCGAGTCGCGTCCGCTGCCTGGTCCGCGTGGATTTTTTCTAGTAAACTTTTCTTTGGACTTGGACATCTAGCAGTTAAATGCTTAAAAAAATAAATAAAATCATAACTTTGGGACATAAAATATAATATATAAACATTTAATTCTTTATTTGATTCATTTTGACAATAAATTACAACCGGTATGTATCGGTAACAAATTCACAAAAATATTAATTTACTTTTCATCCCACCACCTCGGAAAGTGTAATTTTGCGCTTCGAAATCTGGCTGGAAAATTCTATTTTATTCGCTTGAGCGGCAAAGTAGATTTGAATTTAGAACATCACATATAATGAGTACTCAATATAATTGTAAATTCAAAACGTCATTAAACCTATTTAATGTAACCTCTATGGTGCCAAATTTATGATTAGAACTTTTTAAATTGTGAAAAAATTTAAATTTGGAACCTTCTTGGTTTCTTTGTTTTATTTGCGTGCTTCGCGCCATTCTAGTTTTTCACGTTTTATTGCTTAAATATTTTGTCATTATAAATTGTTTTCTTTTTCATTTTGTCATTTCCTCGCTGAGGTGGGATGAAAAGTTACGTATTGCACTCGAGTGGAAAGATTTTTCACCTTGTGCTCGTTTGTTTCCCTCGCTGACGCTCAGGATTCTAATTTAGAATCACTCGCTGCGCTCGTGATTCAACTTTAGAATCCTTCGCTTGCTCGGTCATCCAAATCGAGCACGCGGTTAAAAAGGAACTTTCCACTCTTGTATAATAAATAACTATTTCATCCCACCACCTCGGAAAGTGTAATTTTGCGCTTCGAAATCTGGCTGGAAAATTCTATTTTATTCGCTTGAGCGGCAAAGTAGATTTGAATTTAGAACATCACATATAATGAGTACTCAATATAATTGTAAATTCAAAACGTCATTAAACCTATTTAATGTAACCTCTATGGTGCCAAATTTATGATTAGAACTTTTTAAATTGTGAAAAAATTTAAATTTGGAACCTTCTTGGTTTCTTTGTTTTATTTGCGTGCTTCGCGCCATTCTAGTTTTTCACGTTTTATTGCTTAATATAATTAACATAACCTAAAAACTGTACAAAAAAATCAACTAAAATGAGTGACATTAGCGACGATGAAGTTTATCTAACGCCAACTGAGTTAACTGAAACAGTTAATAATGCGCAAATGAGCCTTCTCCCTCAGCAATCACGAGAGAAGTATTTGAAACAGTACGATATATTTAACATGTGGCGACTAGCTAAAGGAGCAAAAACTTTCTCCGAAAACGTTTTGCTGGCATATTTTATAGAATTATCTGAGACCAAGAAAGCAAGCACGCTATGGAGTACGTATTCAATGCTAAAATTAACAATTAAGATGAAGAAAGACGTTCATATCGACACCTATCATAAATTAGTGGCATTTTTAAAAAGAGCCTCATCTGGTTATAAACCAAAAAAATCGAAGGTTTTCACAGCATCTGAAATTGCAAAGTTTATTAATGAAGCACCTGATTCCGTATATTTAGCGGCAAAAGTAAGTCAATACGTGTAATTTTTTGTTGTTGATAAAATTGTACATAGTACTTACAATATTTTTAATTTGATTAATTTATTTACGATTATAAATACTTCTTTTGTTACAGGTTGTTCTTATTATTGGTATAACCGGAGCATGTCGAACAAATGAACTTACACTACTTAATGTCAATAACGTATCAAAATATTCTCATAATTCTGATGAATTGCTATTAATTAATGTACTAAATACCAAGACAAAAAAAGACCGCAACTTCGTTATTCGCAAGGAATATGTAAACATTGTTCAGAAATATCAAGCTTTACGTCCTTCTAACACCCCAATTGAACGATTTTTTCTACAATATCGCAACGGAAAGTGTATCCGACAACCTATGGGTCAGAATAAAATTGGCAGTATTCCACGAGAAATAGCAACTTTTCTCGGACTTTTAGAACCCCCGTTATACACCGGTCACTGTTTTAGAAGAACCTCAGCCACACTTTTGGCCGAATCAGGGGCTGATCTTCTATCGCTTAAGCGCCATGGAGGCTGGAAGTCTAATTCGGTTGTAGAGGGATACATAGAGGATTCAATCCAAAGTAAATCAAAAATTTGTAATAGTATCGTGGAGGCCATAACGCTGAAAGAACCTCTGTCAGATTCTTGGTCTCGCCCTTCTACATCTAAAATGAGCCCCCATAAGATTGGAAACAATAGCCCTCTCTCGCCAACATTTACGCCAATAGAATCCAATGAATCGGCACAACTATTTAAAATTACTGATACGAGTAGTTTACCACAAAACAGCGCACAATTCACAAACACCAACATAACATTACCTAACAAAAATATTAAACTTAACATAAGTAACTGTAGCAACGTTACATTTAATATTTCTTAATTATTTTCTACTTCTTATTATTTTCTTCAATTTATAGATTATCTTAATGTGTTTTAGTTGAAATAAAAATATTTTGTCACTATAAATTGTTTTCTTTTTCATTTTGTCATTTCCTCGCTGAGGTGGGATGAAAAGTTACGTATTGCACTCGAGTGGAAAGATTTTTCACCTTGTGCTCGTTTGTTTCCCTCGCTGACGCTCAGGATTCTAATTTAGAATCACTCGCTGCGCTCGTGATTCAACTTTAGAATCCTTCGCTTGCTCGGTCATCCAAATCGAGCACGCGGTTAAAAAGGAACTTTCCACTCTTGTATAATAAATAACTATTATTAGTAACACTGGCTGTTTTTTGTTCCTTTACCTAAAAAGGGTTGATGCGCGTGCATCGCTAATCTGTGAAAAAGTTATTTCTTTTTCTTTTCGCTGTATTGTTTTTATTTAAAAATATTGTCAAGTAGTAACGAATTTATTAATTTGACACCGACCGCCAGTAGTCGAAAAAGGCTACGCTAAGCCTCTTGCCCGAAAAATCCACGGATAGATACAGTCAAGCGTATCAAAATTTCATCCTATGGAAAAAAAACAAAAGTGCAAATTCATTTTCAGAAAGTACCTACGTAGGTAGTATTATTTCCTCGCAAATGTGTTATAAAACGTCGTATGACATACGTGCGGTTTGATAATTAGAGCCTCTGCCTTCTTATAGCCCTCACCTACGGCTCGGGCCAACAATATCGCCTCGGCTGTAATTCTCAACTTACCACACTTATATCATAATGTACTATTACAATGTTTGAACAAGGCGGCACAGTTTTGATAAAAACTTAATATTCACTAGACGTATTCACAACACGATGCGTTGTAGTGAGTTGTTAGCGCTGACGCGAGTTGATATTCGCTTTTAACATGATATTTGCTTTGGTGGCACGCAATCTGTGTACCGTGCGCTTCATCTGCATTTAGTTCTATATATGAGATAGCGAATACCTTTACCGTATACCGACTGTAAGCTCGCGTTGATCTAAAACTAATGAACTGAATTTTTTGCGGTTTTCACCTTCGAAAGTTCACTACTTATAGTCTACAGTTACGAGTTACTAGCAATACTTTATATAAAAGTTTTTGTATTTGTATGATTGTTATACTTTCACTTCACGCAAATAGCAATACGAATAGCCCTGTGAAGTGATAGGTAGCCTTAGATGAGCTGATTTATATGAAGCTAACTTCATTATTGCCTGGATTAACGCAGATTCTTACAAACTACAGGGGATATTATATCCCCTCAAAATTTGGTATAGACGTGTCGTACGTAACGTAAACATATTTTGTAATGATATGACATATCATAAGAGTGCTTGTTGGTCGAAATAAATGAATTTCAATTGAATTAAATAAGAAGCTCGATGACGCAGTAGTTACTGGTTAGTAGTACTATTGAACAAATTGAATCATGACCCACTTGCCCGATAATTCAAAGTATCAACCAGACAATTGTTCGAAAAGAATGCATTATTGCACTTATGTCCTTCTAATAACAAGTAAACTGTTGAAATTTTAACTTTGTTTTCAATTTAATATATCAACTTACTTATAGATAAAATAGTAGTCTGAATTTCGAAATCCTCTTTAAAGTCGTAAATGAAACAGAAACTCTTTTGATTTTTTGATACTAAGAAAAACGTTGGTAAATTAACTCTAGTCAAATAATGTAACGTCACCATTATGTCACAGGGAGGCAGCAATATCTGTCACGTTAAATATGATTGTTGAGAAAATTACAGGTTTGTTTCCAGGGATACGTACATTTATACGAAAGTCTATTGTTTTGCAATTGTTGTAAGAAAATTACCATATAATATCAATGTCCCATGTCCCAACCATATGTCAGAAATGAAATTGGCTAATAGTACATTCGATCGATCACGTCCTGTGATAGTAGCCAAAAACTGCTTTGTCAAGCTCCTCCGTGAGGATGTAGGCTGCATGTGGATCTCATCCACAAGGTAACGCGTGGTTCTTAGATCATGACTCTTTCTCCATATTCCGGGACAAAAAGTATTGAACACAGACGACGTCGAGGGCAGAAGCTTATTTTAACAAAAAACAATTCATACGATGTAAATAAAGTAAGGTAATTTTATAAAAAAGTCATATCAGTAGAATACATGAAACTGTTATCATTTTACGTTATCTACGGAAACAAAATAATGATAAGAAAACTCGTTTCTTAGTGCTCCTTATAAATTAAATAAATAGTAATTTATATACATTACATTATGTGTGATAATTACAAAAGTAGCGATTTGATTATGCTCTCATAAATTGGTTCCGAAGACCTCAATAATTTAATTTGAAATCACAAGACATCAAAAAAGCAAAATAACACTAATCGTAATCATAATAATTTAAAAGTACTGATCAATGTTTAGTTTACAAAAGTTAAATTTAATGGATTACGTTAAGTACAAAATTATATCTAGCTCTATTATCTGATAACTAGATAAAAATCTTGTTATCAGATAATACTCGTAGAGACAAATTCTGGAAAATGTATTATATAAATTCACGGTCAATTCGTGGGCAATGTTTTAAAAGGTTCTAATAGAGCAACTTGCACGTTATGTAACTACGTATTGAGACCAGTTTGGTCAGCTTTAAATCAATATTCATTGATAGTTATCTAAATACCAGCGAGCGACTGGTGGAACGGGTGAACGTCACGGTCTTATTGTGACGAATCATTACATGAACACGCAAAAACCACGGAACCGTCACCCCACACATTATCGAATGAAAGGAACACTAGTGTAAAACAAAACGTTTAATCGAATATCACAAAGTATAAATATAAAACCTTAACAATTTGGCATGAACACCCGCTCGTTGACAATCAAAGAGGTCCAAGGTCCAACACTCATTTCCCACTGTACGCCGTGCATTACGGCAGTGCCCAATTTGATACGATATAACTATAATTACGATTACACACAAGCTCTACCCGAACAGATATGTATAAAGGACGGTGGCTAAGATACCGAGCACTACAGGGAACTTCCAGGAACTGATAAAGCTGGTCTCCTCCTCAGTATTATTGGATGGAGTCGTCCACTTCACATTTCCACCAGAGTTGTTAGTGTTCGTCTTGTCTTCATCGACCAACTCGCCGATACGGTACTTCTTCATTAACTCCTTGGCGTCGATACTGTGACCGATATCGTCGAAGTCCTCCGTCGCGTCCTTGCCGACAGCATTAACTAAAACTTCGTGACCGCCAGGATGCTCGTCCAAAAACTGGGACACGTCGTACACGTGGTTGTTGATGATGAATCGTGCCGCAGTCTTGGCGTCAGAAGCGGCAATCTCCTTTCTAGTAAATTTCTTCACCTCGGCAGCCATTTTTGTGTGTTTTTATGGATATGATAGAGACGCGTGCGCACAACGCGGAGAGACAGACGCGAATGATAATAAGCTAGCGTGCGCGACCGGTTGGAATTTGTGAGGAGGCCCTCAAACTTGCTGTATCACATAAAAACAACTTTATTACGTCACGACTCAACATATACATGATTTTTTAAAGGCGATTATAATTATGAAAATCATTCTACGACTCTGATTTTATGCATGGATGGACAGGCTAATATGTTAGCTTGGAGTTAGTAGATTATAAGGAGATTTTCTTAATATTTTTAAAAGATTGTTTTATAAAAGCTTGTGGTGTGATCTGTGATCAACCTTTTTATTTTATAGAACCGAAATACTTAGTTGTAATAGAACGGCTCGAAAAGACACAAATTGCTCAGAGTCAAGCTTGTCACCAAACCAGAGGGCCAATCGCCTATCGGGGTTCATATGGTTATCGCTATCGCTTACGATTTTATTTTGCTAAAAATTCAAAATTCAATATCGTTTATTCAGTCTAGGCTGTTACAAGCACTTGTGAATGTCGAAAAGCTACGCCATCGGTTCGCAAATCTACGGCGGGAGACCTTGTACTGAGAAGAACCGGCAAGAAACTCAGCAAGGGCTGTTTTTTTCTCCCTGTATTATATACAGAGTCGTCAAATTGAAAAATGACTTCAATATGAGGTAACTCATAAAGTCACTTTTCATTACAAACAAAAAAAAATGCTAATAATATAAAAATTATGACTATAAAATAAAAAATAAAAATATGTAAAAAAAATGGTTTAACAAAGTTTAGGAATGACGTGTCCTACCGTTTAGGCAAAAAAAAAATAATAATAATAATATTTCTGACCGCCGAAGATTTTTAAATGCCCCGCGCTCTTTTGTCTTTTATATTGGTAACAAATATATTAAAGAAAATAGGCGTAAGGTATTTGAAAACCTTCGGCGGTCAGAAAAAACAAAATGTAAACGACAGCGATAACGATAGCCATAGCAGTTAGGCGATTGCCCCCAGTTCATAAAAAATGTAAGTTTCTCAAAAAGCCGATAAACTACCTATTTTTTACACAGACATATATATATATATATATATATATATTTAAAGTGAGTTCTAGGGCTCCACAGGGTAAGAGATAGGGTTTAAGACAGCAAGTTAAAAGTTGACTGGAATGACACTAGTTCCTGCTGCATCTGCTATTCTACTACTCTAACTCAACCTAAAACGAAATTTCGATCGAAACTTCTCACGTTTCTTACTATGTTCGTTATTTGTTTCTCAATAAAATAATATTCATTCACCCAAAAATAGATTCAGGGTTAGATTATCTAAGCCTACTCAACGAAAAATTGTATTTGATAGTTTATCGTTCCAATTAAGTGTAACCTCAAATTGATGAAATGAAATTTCGTTTAAACTTCTTTACCGATAGTTCATTTCGAAGAAAGAGAGTAGACCCCCAGCTGATAATTTGCTTTGAGTCTTCCAAAAATACAGACTGAATAATCGAATGAGATATAAGTAAGTTTAAAGGTGTTCTTGATATTAATAAGTTAAATCATATTTTTTAACTATGGTAATACCTAAAAAAACTTAAATACTCTTTTTACCTGAAGCTCTAGCCCGGTTTTTTTTGTGAAGAGTTTTCAAGTCTCATGACGTAAATGATCAAAAACCATGTACGCATAAAGTTAAATCGTCTATGTATGGTTTTTGTCACGTCTCATAAACAGAAGTTATACACCACTTTTTCAACATCGTTAAGTCTTATACTTCTTAGCTATATTCTTACGCATAAGAGATAGGGCATAGCGGGGAAGTGACCTCTACCTTACTAGAGTAAAATAACAACATCTTTTGGTAGAGTAGAGTCAGATTCCAGAGCTCCACGGGGTGGGGGATGGGGTAAGAGTAGGCAACGACGCGAGTGGTATTTTCTATGTCGTAAGCGTCTGTAGGCTATGGTGGCTGCTCTAACATAGAAAAGACAAAATTGTTGAGACCAGTCAAAAATCTTAAATCAGATAATGAGATTTTTTGTGGGCTAGGTACTCCGTTAATCACCTTCGTAGTAGAACCTTAACTCGTAAACGCAGAGTCGGCGGCCGTTCTTTTAATTCGTTCCTTCGGGACATTTTTGCGAAGCCAGCAAATTGGGGAGTAGGGAACACCAAGTGCGCGCGTGTAATTTTGATTAAATAAATTAGGTCGATTTTAATACTTCATTTAATTTACTTATTTGGGTCACCTACAAAGTTACACTAAAGAACATATTCATGAAACTTAAACAAGGTTATAATGATATGCCGGAAAAAGAGCTCAACCAAACATAAGGATCTTAGTCTCTTTGGGAATCTGTGAAGATGTCTATTTCGATAGATTTTGATAGTGAATTGTACTGAGAAGGAAGAGCAATCTATTTAAAGGAGAAAATAAACCTTTTTGACCCGGAGCTTCTATCGTCGCGATCAAATTATATCGAGACCTTAACAGCAATTTTAAAGAGTCACCTTGAGATAAAATTAGTAGAGTGCAAGATACAATTAACTAGCTTGTATAAGAAAAGAAAAAAATAGGTAGGTATACCCACATATTTCCGCGATCGCTAATAAGAGAGTAATGAGATATTAAAAAATTACAGTTGATAAAAAAGTGCCTTTCCAATTTTTAAAACAATGGCAAAATCTAAAATTTGCTTATTGCTTCAGCATTGCTTTTTCACTATAAGCAGCCGATTAATGTTCCGAATCCCGAGGTTCGTGCCTTTTTTTCTAGATGGAATCGGAAATCAAGTTGAAAACACTCAAACTGCTTATAAATTATATCTACCCAGTATGAGAGATAAGACATAGAAATATTATCAATAAACAGAATGAATCGCCGTTTTCATAGTATGTGGCAGCTTCTCGCAGCGTAAACGTGGGAAGCCGTCTTTGGGAGTGCGAAGACTAGATCTGATTTCCCAGAGGGTTTGAGGGCATTTTGGTCATTGTGAACGCAGTTTCGCAGATGATTTCTAAACGTTTTTACACTTTCATTAAAAACACAAATATTTCACATAAGGTTTAACGTATTATACTATATATAGTATAAGTTTAATTTGTACTCAAATGATTAGTCCCTTACTATCGTACATTTTTTTTTTGTGACGCAGGAAAAACCTCTGTTTACAGACAACGGCACCTTTAAGAGGCACACCGCCGAACGGACCTCACACCCAGTACCTGCAAACGTCACGGGCACGATGGGCTATCCTCCAAAGTAACACGCGCCATTTACGAGCACGCTTAACGGCGTGCTATCCGCTAATAAACCCTGCGAATACCCTCTAAGCCGCTAAGTGCGAAGACGCGGGATCCCCGTTTAGGGATATTTTCGCGTTTCCGAACCCAGTAGCCTCCCGGCGATCAGGTTGCGACGCTACTGCCGCCAGGCCGAGCACTCCAACAAGGTGGCTCGGTCGTCCGGGGCACCGCAGTGATGACACTGCGGCGTTTCCAGACAACCTCCATATTGGGGAGGAGGCTGCCTCGCAGCACCCAGTTGTACCCAGGTTCCAGAGCATTGGACCCAGCACTGGGTACCCCAGCTCTGCGGCCATGGCCCGAGAGCACACGCCTCCATCGGGCCCCTCGTAGAGGACTGACCTCTCCTGCAGTTAGTCCTCCACGATCGCTCACAGGTATGGAGGCAGGCAGTGCACGCAGTGCTGTATAATACACTCGTGGGGGAGACTATTAAAGGCGTTGCGGATGTCCAACGACACCGCAACAGCAGTCTTTCCCCGCCGAGTGGATGCCTCGGCCCACCCCTTCAAAAGGGCCACCGTCTCCACTGTGGACCAGTTTCGATGGAACCCGAACTGGTGCTTTGCCAGATTCGGCCTCTCCAGGTGCTCGATGATACGCCCCGCCAGGATTCGTTCAAAGAACTTCCCGGCGTCATCGAGCACCACTATGGGACTATAGCCGGAGGGGGAGTCCGAAGGGCGACCCTCCTTCCTAAATAGGACCATCCTAACTATCTTACCTGCATTTGCACTAAATATTCAAGAATTATCAGAGACTTAGAAACTCTTACAATTAATGATTGTGTAATTCTCCTAAGGAATAAAAGTCGTAAGAAAACTGCTGGTACGCATTGCAAGCGTGAAGTAGCCTTAAGACAATATGAGGTTTAAACCAAGTAAACCTTTAGGCCTTAAAGAACGCAAATAAGAATTTTTTGATGAATTAATATAGATAATTAGTATGAAACGCATACCATCATTAAGAATGAGAAAGGCAGACAACCTTGCGGCGGTGAGCCAAGGTGTGAAGCTAGGCTTCCTACAATATATTGTCGCCTATTACTCTTTTTATTTTATTGTCTCGGCTGTGTTCCACCGAATCCAATGCATTAAGTTGGTATTTTGCCGATCCATTCCAAAGGTGACTGTAATACTCCATGCATGATCAGACCTGCCTGCCTATTCGCAAACTTTTTTAACATTTACAGTGTAACTGAAGACTAAATTGTATATCCATCGATGTTTTTCAGGACAAGTACCTTAGTGGCGTTATAAAAAGCAGTAGTGGATCACTCAATAGCTAGGTGTATATCACTTCCATCTGTTAAAAGCAGTTAGCGAATAAACCTACTGAGCTTTCTCGAGGGTTAAAATCTGTCTAGGCGTGAAATATCGCTTCACCCTATTTAGGACACCCAGCTTCCTAGTTGCAGTTTACGCCTTAGATTTGATGGTGTCGGAGTTGAGGTAGGTAACTCAGACCAAATAAAAAGTAAAGACGGAGTCTGCCGAACAAAAAAGTGAAGCCGGTTTTTTATGTATGTAGTGCATTAGCCAGTGTTACCATAGTCATTTATAATATCCCATTATTAGAAAAATTAATAACGTTATGAAATAACGTTATTAATAACGTTATAAAATATTAGAAAAAACTATCGTAGGCTTATTCTCTAGTCCAGATTAGTTTTACACTAGCGCTAGATCCAACCTCTCGTGAGCCAAAGGTCCTGTGCTTGGAGATCTGGGGTTCCTTCCTGATTTATAAGTTTAATAACTGTTACACTAATAAAAGTTTAGTTAAAAAATATATAATAAAAACAAAGCTTAACCTTTGGAGTTTTTGGCAGGATTTCATGGAGTGCGGTTAGCGTCGTATTTTAATTATTTTTTAATTCGTTCATAGTGAATATTGTGAAATAAAATTGGTGTAATTTTGTGTTTCAACCGTCTGCACGACTGAAGAATTATTGGAATCTTTAAAATATAAATTAACCTAAGTAACTATATTAAGTTAAGTAAAAAAAAAATATCCTTGGATATGCATTTTATTTTCCACGACGTAACCCTTTTGTTGTGTAGTTCAAATCGTCGCTCTGAAAATGAGACGAACAAACCACGCTGCGGGAAGCTGGTTGCCACAATGGTTCATTTCTACTCTTACGAATGACTGCAATCCACTTCTCTTTTAGATTTTGATCTCGATTAGGAAATCGTAAAAAAAACGTATAATATATAATGTGTATTACATCCCAAAAAATTTATTCGAATACATAAAGAAAAAAGATAATAAAGATGTTTCGTGTAATTGTTTATCCATGCATTACAATATTCGAATAATATAAAAGTATGCTACACAATGTATTTAATAAAATAACGTTACGTTATATTTCACGCTACCCAAGAAAAGGGTAAAACTGTAACGTATAATCATGGCAGCATTTCATTCAGGTTTTGTTTACAAAGCGACAACCTCAAATTCGATTTTTATTAATTGAAAATATTAGTTTATAACTTTACTTAAGTATGAAATGTGATTCCATCCTGTTTTTTATTCTTGGAAGATTGGATTCTACACTTTTTCACTACACAATTCGGCATTTTCTCTAATAAATATTGTTTTTTACTATTACGTCACACTCCGCCCGCCGGGATAGCTCGACTGGGAAGCTAAGGCGTAGTTTCGTTGCATGTGTGTGCGTGTAACTGTGTATGTACACGGCGAGGCGTAGTTTTATCGGCTTCACTTTTTTGTTCGGCATACTCCGTCTATACTTTTTATTTGGTCTAAGGTAGGTAAATATAAGATTAGACAACTGTATGCCAAGGACCTCGGGAGCAAACATGCGGTGAACAAACATACCTACGTCTTAAATCAATGAAGATGTAATCCAGCGTCAGGTTCGCTCTCTCATCAGTTGCACTTTTCCTCCGCTGGCTCTCGCACTAGAGATGAAAACAGTTAAAGCTTTTGTTTGAATTTGTTTATTACTTTTCAGTTGTGTAGTTTTTTTGGCAGAACGTAGTGTTTTAATTGTATCGCTATGATTAAATTTTATAGTATACCGTTACGTACGTGTGATAAAGGCAAAAAGAAACTATATCTAAATACCTAATAGTTTTTCTGAATTTCTAAAAGATAAAACATTTGTAGAAAATTTATTATACATGCAGGTTCCACAGGTTAAAGGTGCCTACCCATTACACAGTGATGCCAACTTAGCAACTTTATAGCTAGATCTAGCTATTATTTGGTATCACACAGCTACAATTTAATAAAATTTGTAGCTAAACTATTTAGCTATTCTTTCTAGCAACTTTTCATTACATGAGAGATTCATAGAGTAGGGTACCAAATCTTTAAAGAAAAACTAAAAACTGAACGCGACTCTATATAGATTAAAGATACTATGGTATCGGGCGTAGGTTGCGCTACGACCAAAGACGGTATTATATAAAGTCTTTGGCTACGACAGAATGCACTATGACAGAACGTGGGTACTTATTTATTTATTTATTTATTTATTTTCATTTGGGAAACATACAGTTTTACACAATCAATTAAGTAACACTTATTACTATTTCATAAACCAGTTAAGTTTCCACAGACTGAAACATTCATAAACTTACATAATTTGCTCAATATTACGTACAATATTTAGAATTGTGTGATTAAAAGAAAAAAATAATTACTAAGTGTTAGGATAAAACAACCTTATAGCATTCATTTCTAAATTGGTTGTAAGAAAGGCAAAATATATCCAATCCCCTGAAGTATTTATTATAGCTGTGACATGCTCTAGAAATGAAACTATTTGCAGCAAACTTGGTCCTGCTGAATTGTATTACAAACGTGTTGTCAGACCTAGTTCTATTTGGACAACGGAAACCAATCCTCTGCAAAAGGAACGGCGAATCTACAAGGTCATTAATAAGTTTGTAAAGAAATAATTGATCTCTAACAGTTCTGCGATGTTGCAAGGATGTAACCTGTAACTTTGCTTCACAATCATTAATAATCAAGTTAACATTAATTCTATTTTCTAAGTACTTTACAAATTTGCGTTGAATTCTTTCAATAGCATCAATGTATGTATTATACTGTGGATTCCATACACAAGAGGCATATTCAAGGTGTGGTCTCACAAATGCATTATACAGTAATATCAAAGTAGATGCGCAACGGAATTCTTTTCCAATACGCATGATGAAACCTAGCATTCTATACGATTTTGCAACAATATTGCTAATATGGTTACTGAAAATAAGTTTATCATCAATAATTACCCCAAGGTCAACCATCTCGGTTTTTTTTGTGAGAATAGAATCAGTTAATTTGTAGTTATAATTAATTGGCATTTTCTTCCGGGTAAAAGTAATTACTGCACATTTATCTGTGTTCAATTTAAGTGTGTTATAATTGCAATAGTTTACCAAGTTGTTCAAATCTTGTTGTAACAATTTACAATCTTCTATGGATTTGATCAACTTTATAATTTTCATATCATCTGCGTAGAGCAGTAAGTTAGAATTGTGAATATAGCTCTTTATATCATTAATAAGCACGTTAAATAGAAGGGGACCAAGGTGAGAGCCCTGGGGCACGCCTGAGGTTACGGGAACAAAAGTGGAACAGTAACCTTTTATTGCCACAGCCTGACTACGGTCTCGCAGATACGACGCCAACCATCGGAGAAGATCGCCATGAATACCAACTGCTTTTAGCTTCGAAATGAGTAAATAATGAGTAAATAATTTAATAAACCAAAGTAGTACGCACCACTCATATTCACCCAGTGTTTTTTTTTTTATCCATATAAAACTAATAATTAAAAAATAATTTAAAAATGGATCAACCCTTGAGAAAAAAACAAACGCACATAAATACAGACAGGTTGGTTAAAAGCAGCAAATGAAGACTCAAGCAAAGGGGTTTTGTACGTCAAATAGTTTAAGAAGAATTTACGTAGAACAATTATTTTACGGAAATTCTTCTTAAACTATTTGACATAAAGAAACATACTAGGACAAAAAACTAAGACAGAAAGTAAAATTCCAAACAAGTACGTGAATTTAAAACTCGTTATGCTGAAAGCAGACTTTTTTGACGGGAAAAATTAGTATGATAATTTTAGTATACAAGTTTTTCTTTTTAAAATAAAGGTCTCAAACTCATTTTATGCGCTACGGTCAGTATTGATATCCCTTCTTGTAATATAGTATCTTTTTTTCTACTGGAAGATTTAGCTACTTCTAGCAACTTTTTGGGGTAATAAAAACTGACGATCTAGCAACATTTTGTAAGATGTCTAGCAACTGGGCAATGCTAGTAGTTGGCAACACGACCATTACACCCATTATTATATTATTACATCATACCTGGACCATGCTTGGAACGTGTCAGGCAAAAAAGTATTCTTTGTATTGAAAAATATACAGTGCGTCTGCGAGGATGTCGGCGGCGTCAGCGTCGGCACGCTCTGTACATGACACGCCCGACGCGGCGACGTAGTGAACATACGGGTTGTAAGTTGTAACGCGTATGATGACCGTTTTTGTTCTGCAACACTTTTTTTGGTAAATAGTTTCTTTAGGGACACTGTTAGAGGAAATAAAATAGAATGGGGAGTTGTCGGGGTAAGCGCTTCTTATGAATATATATGGAAATGAACGTCGAATGTCCCATTTATTCAACTGACATCCTTGTTAATGTGCAAGAATTCAGAGCCATTTCAAAATAGTCTAGCTGGTTAGTCTATAATTTTCTACCATAGCAAAAATAAACAGCTGACGAGTTTTGGGAAGAAATATTAGCTTATAAAAAATCTTATGGAGGGCAGTTTTTTTTAATTTAGCCAAACTTGCCATGGTCTGTTAGAGTTTGCGATTTGCTAATGCTGCTGTAGAACGGGCGTTTATGCTGATGAAAATCGGAAAGCTCACGATAACAGCAGACCATAATATCATGAGTGCGATGTATCTTAGAAAAACACGGCGGGTGCACAAATGAACCAACCTAAAAATGCTAGAATTTATTAATTCTAAAAATGAGTACCTATTCACAAAATGGAGAAGAAAAAAGAACTGAAGAAGTGCCTAATTGATATTTTGAATGAAGCTTAAATTAATAAATATAAGCTATTTTAATTTTATATATTTTTTTCAACAAAGCGATTTGCATCTGGCAACCCTGATGTCAGTCAAAGCTACAGCAAAGCTTCGCGGTGTTTTTGGTGAGATTTCATCGAGTACGGTTGCCGTTTTACTTTAATTATTCTTTAATTCGTTCATAGTGGATATTATGAAATAATATAGGTGTGATTTGTGTAACAACCGTCCTCGCATCTGAAGAATTAGTGGAATCTTTCAAATATATGCTATTCCGGTGAAGTGGACGTGAGAACATTATTGTAGTGTTGACTACCTCACAGAAGCTTATTTCAGAAGCTTATCTCATCACAGAAGCATCATAAGAAAGCTTACTCGATACACTTCGTGCAAAATACTTCAAGAAACATTAGAATGCGTCACATCCACATTGTAATGAAAAGAAAACAAAAAAAACTGCAGACAAGGCTGTATGGATGTCGTTTTCTTTGCCTGACTCAAAAAGGGAGAACATTAAAAAAAGCAAACCTTCGCCCGGCTGGCTGACTTGTTTTGGCTCGGTGTTTTGGTTTTTATTTTTAAATAAAACCATACATTTTTATGTAGGAAGTGATTGAAATTATGCTAAACTTACATTTGTGATATTCCTATTTTCAATAAATACATGCTTCTAATCTCAGTGTTCATGACAATATAACAATTTAGGTTATAAATCAAAACAACTAAAATGAAGCTGGTAAATAACTTTCGTTTTAGCTCCTATAAAAAAAGAAGCTATTTTTGTGAATGTTACACACAAGTCCTTTGATAGTGCTTTGCTTATGTTGTAACTGAATTGATGTTAATCTCAATAAATATGACTATTTCAGTACTGTTTGAGTAGCGACGCATCAAAGCCCTGCTTTGTGTTGTCCTTTCGTGAGTTGCTGATCATGCTTGACTGCGGACTGTCGGCGCACTCGGTGCTGAACTTTCTGCCGCTGCCGCCGGTGCCCAGCACAAGGCTCGCATCATTGCCGAATTACACACCACCTCATGTGAATGACCCACTCCTGGAAGGGGTTGGTATTCCTCTTTTTTACTTGATTTGTGTCCGCCCCAGCCAGGAATAATGCAACTTTCTAGCGGTGAAAGAATTTTTAAATCGGTTTATTACTGTTTTAATCAATTGTTACAAACATACATAAATCTTGCTTTTGTATAATATTAGTGTAGATATCTTTTTAGTGAAAATCATGAATTCTCATTCTATTTGGTCAATTATGGGAATGCTCATCATTCTTTTTTCTTGGGCAAGAGAAGCAAAAAATATTATAAGTTAACTATATGAAAAAAGGCATTTAAATGGTAGGTGTACCATTTTAGGGTTCCATAGCCAAATGGCAAAAAACAGAACCCTTATAGATTTGTCATTTCTGTCCGTCTGTCTGTCCATATGCCACACCCCCTTTTTCTGAAACTTTAAGAACTATGCTGTTGAAACTTGATAAATAGATGTATTATGTGAATGGCATAAAAATTTTCACACAAAAATAGAAAAAAACAATAAATTTTGGGGGTTCTCCATACTTAGAACTGAAACTCAAAAACTTTATTTAGTTAACTTAAATATATTAAAAGAATTGTCTCCCAAAATAATTGTGCACTATGTAATAAAGGAGAATGGGCAAATCCGCCTAGATTGCGCTTGACGCATTTATGTATCAAAAATCTTCTTCTGAATTATCATTTCATATGTGTGTTTATTATGTAAATATTATGCGGATATTTAAAATAATAAATAAATGGCTATTAAACTGAGTAAATAACCAATAACCATAGATAAAAGTTGTATCACCTGGTCGATACTATCGATCGTAGGAAAAAAAATCGATTATATTTCTTTATTTAAATATTCTTAACATAAAAAACGAGTGTGCTTATGACTACACAACTGAAGTGAAACTTCTTTCATTTACTAGCTGTAAGAGAAAAAGAGAAAGAAAATGCGTGCGCGCGCTCTTGCTCCTACACTGTGATACAGACAAAAGGCTTGCACTGTGCTTAGATATACGGAACGTATTTGGCTATGAGAGGAAGAGAGAAAGAAAATGTGCACGCGCACTGCTTTCTCATGCTTACATCCCCCACTCAACTCCCGTTCGCCTCGCCCGATCACACTACGTTCGCTAGCTTACTCCCCAAGTCAAGAGTGCGTAAAGAAGTTTCACTTCAAAAAGAAAAAATAAAACGTTTATTATAATTGAAAGCATAGAACAATTGTAAATAGCCTGAAACATTTTTACCAAACACCGTAAATGACTACGAAATAATGATCATTCGTTAATTCGTAGTCATTTTTTATTTTGAGGTCTTCGATACGAGTTGTTTGATTTTTGTATGGATCGATGGATAGATTATTTTCCCCAAATCGCCTATTCAGAGGGCCTGGTTTCGAATTCCGGTGAGGCAAATGTTTGTATGATGGATACGAGCATTTTTACCAATATTATATCATGATAAATAACATTAAATTCATAAAGTTATCATTTGTAAGACCTGTGTTGTGACAATGTCACTGTACCTACCAGGGATTGCTCTCTTTCATTGCATCTAAAAACTAAAAGGAACTTAATGGGCTGCGCAAAAGAGGATTTTTTGTCTGCGGACTATTTTGTTCATCAAACAGTAGATCGCATACAAAAACTTTTATATGTGTACTCTACATATTCACATCTTAGATTAAAAAAGGGAATATATTTTTGTTTAAAGTATCAGTTATGTTATATATAATTACTTAATCATATATAAATTAACTCATGGTTTGAACATTTTAAGCATTTGCATTGAAAAATAAAACATTTATTAATCGATTGTGTAGGAATCGATTCCTATAGAATCAAATCGAAATATATACCATAGGCAAGTGAAGTAGGTAGCTGTCAACTTGTTGTCAACGTGTTTGTTGTTTGTTCCGGTGCAGTTTTCAATTTTGAATTGAATTTGTGTTTTCAGTGGTCTATTGTGGCAGAATAGTTTTAATGTTGAGTTGATAATCCTCCGTTAATAACTGTTTTTGGGAAAGAGAGCATTGGACTCGTTGATTTAGTGTTAAGTTACCTTTAGTGATTCTAACAGAGATATTTGGACTCTTAGTTCATTGTAATTATTTTTGTTTACAATGGCATCTGGTGTTACACAAGAAAACGCAGGCAGTATGCAACGACGTTGTATTAACTGTTAACAGTGCCACGACGACAGCCAGTACATTCTTTGGACATGCTATCCAATTCAATGCTTAATGTTTTAAGCTCATGGATCGCACCTGATTCTGTTGTGGAAAATCCATATTAAGAAGTCGATCGTACAGGGTTTCACTACACTGTCCAGAAAGAAATATTATTCTTAGATGGACTCCAGCACATCAGGTATGGTATAAGATATTATTATCAATAATAAATTATTAAAATTGATTTCAATGCTAATTAAAACATGACTGTGACATTATTATTATTATTGCATTGCATGATTGAAATGTTATATTAATAATAATTTATTTAAATTGATTTCAATACTAACTGAAACATGACTGACATTTTTTTTTACATTGCACAATTGTCATGTAGTATATTAATGAAATTGATTATATAATAACTAACTCAATCATGACTATGGTATATAAATAATATATATAGTTTTTAAAGATTGAGTTCTGGATAATACTGCAACTACCTATAAGTATTTGCATGTTGATAAAAGCGACAGGTCATGTTGGTTATATTTTTGAGATCTGTATAATTTACCATATCTTGTCAGATAAATGATTTATTATTATTATTATAAGAAATATATTTCTATTGCATAAAATAGTTGTAGATGGTTTTTCATTAAATTCAAGTTCACTTATCTTTTTTATAGGTGTCAAGAATTTCAAGAGTTTGTGCTGCCTGTTGGCAAGCAGCTAATAGGGAAGTGCAAAGGCAACAGTTACATGATGCGAATCGGTCATCAATTGAACAAATTGATGTAGAACCAACAGAGTCTGTACCAGTGATCCCAGTACCACCACCATTTCCCGCTGGTCTATTACCTGTTCAGAGCTCAAGACCTGTTATACCTAAGATACAGTCATCAGTATATAAGCGTGCTGAAGCCACTTCATCGAGTTGTCTGTTTTCAGGATGCCGGGAACAACAATGTTTATTAGTACCCAGAGTAATAAGAGAAATGTTATTAATACATAATAAATTCTATGTTCCCACATGTTGTAGAATATGTCAACATCACTTGAATAATGGGCGTTGGAGTGATTTAACATCAAATCTGCAAGATTTTACTGGTGTACAGTTTGATGCCATTTTGAATATAATGCAGAGAGCAGTTTCCCATTGTTTCGACTTTGAAAATATTTCTGCAATGGCTCCTTTCTTATGCCATTATTGGCTGGGAATGAATGCTGAACAGTTTGATGAACTCTTGGGCTGTGTACCAAGCTTATTACAGAGTGTCAAAAATCCCCGTTTAGCACTCTGTATTTACATAGTCAAGTTAAGAACTGGGGACAGCAATGAACGATTAAGTTCCCTCTTTCAAATGTCTCGTAGGACCTTGGAGAGCAAAATGAATATAGCTAGAAATTGTTTAGTTGAAGATTTTGTGTCAAGACATTTGGGCTTTGGTCATGTAACTTTGTAAATGTGGAGCAAGTGGCCAGCAGAAATAAAATAATCCCGGAGGGATTGTTTGGTAATCCAATCTTACCAAATGATATTAAACCCGCTATTGTTATGTGTGACGCAACTTATATATTTATCCACATCAGCAGCAATTATCGTTTTCAAAAAGAATCATATAGTTTACAAAAATCTGATAATTTAGTTAAACCTTTTATGGTTGTGTGTTGTGATGGATATATTATAGATTGTATGGGTCCCTATAAAGCAACCACTAATGATGCTTCAATAACAAAGCATGATTTAAATAATGAAAAAGGAAAACTGCATTCATTTTTCCGGCAGGATGATGTTTTTATTCTGGATAGGGGGTTTCGGGACGTAATTGAATTTATGGAGGATCTTGGTTTTAAAGCTTACATGCCTGAATCATTATTAGATGGTGAACATCAACTCACTACCCTTCAGGCTAACAAATCTAGATTTGTAACAATGTGTCGCTGGGTGGTTGAAATAGTAAATGGACGTATAAAACGAGATTTTAGATTGTTCAGGCATGTATTTAATAACAGAGCTGCAACTCATTTAAAAGATGATTTAAGAATTGCATGTGCTCTGTTAAATAAGTTTCATCCCTTAATACAGGATCCTCCAGAATCAAGTGAGTATGTAGCTATTGCTCAATATCGGCTTAATGAGTCCAATCATTTGGCCGAGTTTGTAGAAACTCAAAATCTTAACAGAAGATGTGCAATGTTTTCTGCAATTGATGGCAATCATCCTCACTTGGAAACCTTTCCCAGTTTAAGCATCACTGATTTAAAACGCTTTGCATTAGGCACTTATCAGTTAAAGCAGGCGCGATCATATTATGGGGAACATATTCGATCGTCTGGGATATATTCCATAGAAATAAATACAGAAATAGATGAAGATGTTCCCCTTGTATTAGGTTTAAACAATTATCTGCTTGGAGGACGTATTAAGTCTAGACACGTTGGTGGACGCACCTATTTTGTTTACATTTTAGTCAGCCGTGACACCAATATAGCCAACTCACTAAGTTGTTTAGTTGGCTATTGCTGCAGTTGTATTGTAAGCAAAAGGACAGTAGGATGTTGCGCACACGTAATGACGGTAGTTTGGTACCTTAGCTGGGGGCGATTTAACGATACACATGCTCCAGCTACATTTTTAGATGAGGTATTTGAAGAAGGTATATAAGTCAATTCTTTTTTAAAAAAAGGCAATATATAAACCAGGATTAGAGAACGCTTAATGTATAAACTGCTGTGTTAATTGAACTTAGCAGAGCTTTAACTGGATATTTCAAACTCAACAGGACATGGTGGCGAGATACAAAAGATATTTTAGGCGAAGTCACTACAGTTCCACTGGATACGGCATAACCCCAAAAATATAAAATAAAAATATCACATTAATAATGTCGATTTGGATAAATGTGTTATCAATAAATGATTATCATTATTAAAATATTTTGTCTTATTTATTTTTGATTCCTAAACCTTAAATAATATTATATCCATTGTTGGGTTAACAGAGCATCAAAGGTGCAGCTTGAGCGTAAAGAGAATAAGTATAAATAGCACTAATATAACCGCACCTCAACAACGCTACATTTATTGAATCTGAGATGTTTGGAATAAATAGAGATAGATAGCAGCTCACCAACGCAACAGTTTACAAATATACGCTGCCCGTTGATAAGATTTTACGAAGTGCATTCAATTTTTGTTTCACTCCCAGTCCAAAATAGAAGACAAAAGGTCACAACCTAATTAAATACAGTTTAAAGTAGTATACCTAGTAATAATTAAGTATGGTATAAATATCGAATTTAATCGAATCTAAATATGACATAACCTTAAAATGCTTACGTAATTTAATATTTTCTTTAAACCACTACTTAAGTTTCTAATGATATTTTTCCTACGCAATATACACCTGATTCCCTATTGTTGTACACTTATTCCAATAAGACGCAATGAAAAAAACTTAGCCCAACTCCCAAAGTAAAATGACCATTCTCCTTTATGGTTTCAATGTAAGATTATAGTTAGGTATATTGACTTAGTCAAAAATTTATTATAACATAATCATTATTTTTATAAAATCTACAAATTCTGTTTCCAGGAACTAAAAGAGTGCTGTGGGCGAGTTTTTGTGGACAGCATCCCTGAGTTCTGCCCTCCCCTTGACAAAGTTGTAGATTTCTCACAATTGGATGTGATACTGATATCCAACTACACATGCATGATGGCATTGCCTTTCATAACTGAAGACACTGGTTTCAAAGGTCAAGTGTATGCAACAGAACCGACTCTGCAGATAGGCAGGTTTTATTTGGAAGAATTGGCCGAATGGGTGTCTGGTGCGGGAGGTTCCGGAAATGCTGGTGCAGCAAAACGCTGGAAAGAGATGCTGCACGTTTTGCCGTCTCCATTAGCACTGGCTGCAAGGCCGAGATCTTGGCGACGGCTGTTTTCTCCAGCGTCGGTAGCGCGCGCTTTGTCTCGCGTTCGTGTGGTGGGTTACGATGAACGCGTGGACATTTACGGTGCACTTGATGCCACCGCTGTCAGTTCTGGCTTCTGTCTGGGATCAGCTAACTGGGTGCTGCGCTCAGCTCGAGAGAAAGTCGCCTATGTCAGCGGCTCTTCGACACTCACCACGCATCCGCGCCCCATAAACCAGGTCAGTTTAATACTTAATAATATTTTAATCTGATGGAATAATTGATATCTCAGATAGTAAGGCTCCAAAGATATTGGTTTTTTAAAAGATGAACACAAATAGTTGTTGTTGTTGTTTTTATATTTATGGGGATGTCTGGAAAAAACCAGATGTATGGAGTAACCATTATCTATACATATAATAAAATGGTAGGGAAGTCAAAACTGTACATTGAATATATTTTTAAAAGAATACTTGGGGTGTGATCTACTATTGATACCGAAACCAAAAATATAGTTTTTAGAATTTTTGTTTGTTTGTCTGTATGTATGTCCGGGATAAACTCAAAAAGTACTGCATGGATTTACTTCAAATTTGGCACGAATATTATTAAGAAGTCGGGTCAACATATAGGTTACATATTATACATATTGAGTGCTTTCCATATTGAACTGTGTGTAATGCTGTCGAAGGCCTTTGTATAATCTACAAAGGCTATATATAATGGTCTGTTGTATTCTTTATACTTTTCCATGATTTGTTCTATTGTGTGAATATGATCTATTGTTGACAAATTTGAACGAAATCCAGCTTGTTCGGGTGGTTGGTGGTTATCTATATTAGCAGCTATTCTTGCAGTTAGTATGGATGTGAATAGTTTGTAGGTGCTTGATAGTAGACTTATTGGTCGATAGTTCGAAATATCTGTGGGATCGCCTTTTTTATAAAGTAGTATGATGTCTGAGTGAAGCCATTGTTTTGGTACTATCTCATATTCTAGAATTAAATTAAACAGGTCTGTTAAGAAGGTGATTATGATTGGTGCACCGAGTTTTATTGCTTCATTACTAATGCCGTCTGGGCCTAGGGTCTTCTCTGATTTTAGTTTCTTTATATGGGTAAGTACCTCTGTTTCTGTTATGGGATCTATTGTGAGATTTTCTCTTTCTGTTGGGTGTTCAATTTCTACATTTCCTATGTCTTCTTTTGTTTTCCTATATAATTTTGTATAAAATTCAGTAGCGCAGTTCATAATGTCATTTCGGGATTTTGTTTCTTTTTTCCCTTTTTTTAGTTTTTGAATCCATTTTTCATGTGTTTTAAGTTCTTTGTACGCTCGTTTTAAGCTTCGAAATTTTGTTAGTTTTTCTTGGATTATCCTCTGTCTGTAGTTTTTGTAGTCCTCTTTAATCGATTTGTTTGTCTTTTTGAATAGATCTTTTAGTTCTTTTTGTTTTTTGCTCTTATTTTTGGTTTTTATTAGTTCTGTGCGTTTGGTTATTAAATTTATTGTTTTCTCACTCATTATTTTGTGTTTATTATTTTTGTGATTTCCTTTTTCCATTTTCAGGCTCGTTGTTATGATTTCTGCTAGTTTGTTAGAGTATGTTTCGACTTCTCTAGAGTGTTGTAATATTTCTAGGTTCATTTGTATGTTTGCTTTTAGATTGTTAAGGTATGTTGTTATTTCTTCGTCGGTTTTCGGTATTCTCGGTATGGGTTTAAATGACTTTCTACTTAGTTTGTTTGGTTTTACTTGGAAAGAAGCTCTTACTGGTCTATGGTCAGATGCAAAGTGTATTTGGTTTAGGACTTCAATATTTGTGATTCTTTTAGGTTTGTTACACATTACAAAATCTATTTCATTTTTAGTTCGTGTATCTGGTGATTGCCACGTCCATTTCCGACTCTGTTTCTTTTTGAAAAATGTATTCATTATAGAAAGTTTATTTTCATTGGCATATTCAATTAATTTTTCACCTCTTTCGTTTCGACTTCCGTATCCATATTTTCCCATTATAAGATCTTCATGGGCTTTTGTGTGTCCTATTTTTGCATTAAAATCGCCCATTACCAGTGTGGTTTTTTCTGACATATCGTTTGCTGTTTTTAAGTCGTTATAGAACTGACAAATTTCTTCGTCTGTTGATCTTTCTGTCGGGGCGTACACCTGGATCAGTGTTATAGCCTCGTCTCCAAGTTTAAGTTGCAATACAGCCACTCTTTCCGATATGCCTATGAAGTTTGCTATGTTTAGTTTAAATTTTTTCTTTATTAGAAAACCGACCCCATATAGACCTTCTGTTTCTCCTATGTAGAGTAAAATGTAATCCTTGTACTCTTCAATACTACATCCCATTCTCCTTACCTCTGCAAGTCCTAAAATGTCGCAATCTATTTTTTTCATGGCGTGTGTTAATTCAAGAAATCTTTCTTCTGATGAGAGTGTTCTTACATTGTAGGTACATATCTTTATTAGTTCTTGTTTTTGTTTTTTGTTTTTATGTTCTTTGTTTTCCTGTTCTTTGTTTTCATGTTCTTTGTGTGGAGGGTAATGGTCTAATTCCCCACGGTGACCAACCGGATTGGGGAATATTGTTGTGTTTTTATTATGATTTATTTTTGTACTAATCTTATCTGTTGTATTTTTTCGGCAACTATTGTTTTCTAGTTTTTTGAATTTGCTATATTCTTTACTGTTTGATTGGGTTTAATTTTGGAGAATTTAGTGGGTTGTTTTACAATGTCTTCTTCTTGTACTTTGCTGAAGCTATTGGGGGGTGTAGAGGGTGGCGAAGATGATGCTCTCTTGCGTTTTTCCGATTCTTGCTGGTCTTTAATTATAAGTTTTCCATGCTTTATGTAGGCATATTTTCCTGATACTCTTGCTTCCTTAAGTTTCGCATATAAAGATTTCCTTAGTTCCATTTCCTCTTTAGTGAGGTCCTCTGTTATGTAGATGCCCTTGGGAAGGTGTTTTTTGTTTGTAAGTATTTCATTTCTACGCCATACTAGAGTAAATACTATCTTTATTGGTCTATTTTTGTTTTGAACCTTTTTCCCAATTCTGTGCAATTTGCTTATCTCCCACTTGTCCCATTCATGGGTTGCATTTTGGCTTTTGTTTAAGTCGTTTAGTAATTCCAGCACTTGTTTCATGAGTTCCGTATTGTTGGTTTCGTTTTCTTCTACTCCGTGCAAAATTAAGTTTGTTTTTCTAGCTTCAATGTCTAAAATTTTCACTTTAGATCTCAGAGTTGCAACTTCTTCTTTCAACACTTCATTTTCCTTCCTTATATGCGATAATTGTTCCTCAATAGTTTTGCTAATAGTTTCCTTAATGATTTGTGTTTGTTTTTCTTGTTGTTTTTCCATTTCTTCTTTCATTTTAGCCCATAACAATTGCATTTGTTTATCCATCTTGATATTATATGTTCGGTTTGATTGAATGTTTAAACCGATAAATAGTTGTTATATTGTTGGTAACACCAATTGCCCATGTACGCGAAGTTTGTAAAGCTCACGATCTGCGGTTGGACGGACCGACCTTCCGACCAAGTCGGAACGTGTGTGGCGTGCCTTCGTCTCTAAGTAGTCTGTCACGCAAGTTGTTTTGTCTATGATAACATGTAATAACCTCAAAATTTTGCTTCGGGTTTTTGGTTGTTTTTAAATTGTTTACACTTGTCTCACTTATCTGATTGCTGAGATGTTGCACACATTTGTTTTTTTTTCCACAATAACTTCACCAAAGCATTCGATCGATCACTTTAGCACCAAAATTGAATTAATAGCGGAGGAGCAATTTCGCGATGTTTACACTTTGAGGGTTGCCAGCCGAAAAAAACTTAGTAGTATCTTTAGTAATAAACCCCCTTTTGGGGTCAAAAAGTATATGCAAATAACTAACACCACGCGTACGTAGTCGCGGGCGGCCGCTAGTTTAATTATTAAAATACATCATTGACGACCTCCGTGGTCGAGTGGTTTGTACGCCGGGTTTCATGGTGTCGCCGACTCGAGACGTCCCGGGTTCGAATCCCGGTGGGGGCAGATGTTTGTGTGATGAATACGAGCATTTGTACTCCAGTCATGGATGTTTAATATGTATTTCTATATAAATATACTTATATATGTACAGTATATGTATTCTATCCGTTACCCTAGCATCCCATAACACAAGCCTTACAGTGCTTACTTTGGGGCTAGGCTAATTGGTGTGAGTGTCGGAAATATTTATTATATTTATTATTATTATTATCATTGATAAAAGTTATCATCCAAATTTTATTAATTATGGACAACCCCAATATCCAATAGCTTAAGTCCTACAGTGCTTACTCTGGGGCTAAGCTAATTGGTGCGGGTGTTACAAATATTTATTTATTTTATTAAATATTCATCAGTTCACTAAAATTTATCCTAATGGCAATCAGCAGTTTACTATCTGATCCATTCCAAATCCATTCATATTGACATATTTTTATGAGAATGTCTAATTGAAACTTGTTGATATTCAACAGGCGGCGCTGCGCGGTGCTGACCTCCTCATCTTAGCTGCTTTAACACAAACCCCAGCCCACAACCCTGACCACATGCTTGGTGACTTATGTGTTCACGCAACTGTAACACTACGGGGTGGAGGCTGTGTCTTATGCCCTGTGTACCCAAGCGGAGTTTTATACGACCTTCTAGAATGCTTATCAGCACATTTGGACGGTGCTGGGCTACAACACGTACCTATGTACGTAGTATCGCCAGTGGCGGATTCATCGCTGGCCTACAGTAATATTCTAGCGGAATGGGTATCAGTGGGGAAACAAGCTAAAGTATATCTACCTGAAGAACCGTTCCCTCACGCGGCTTTGGCGCGCGCTGGGCGGTTACGGCACGCTAAGCATTTGCATGATGACGCCTTCAGTGCAGAGTTCCGTCAGGTAAATACGTCCAATTATTGTAATCAATTAACACATTGAACATGTTCAATTTAGGCTGCCTCATAAGCAGTTTTCACAGAATATCTGTAACAGACTAACAGTCTCTTGCATATCAAACAGGAAAATTTACAACTTACAAAAACTGCATTACTATAGCAGGAATTAGTATTAGCACCAATAACTTACATAAATAAGGACCTACCTAACTTGTTTTTCTTTGTCTATCAGGTAGATTGTCAAAAAGTATTGGACACATATTTTCTCTTTATTTACCTAATCAAAACATTCACAGAGATATATTGAGTTGAAATATCGCATGACGTCACGTCTTGGTACAATTTTTACTTTAATTTTTACTTTAGAAGTGACCACACGAGCCCCCTCTCCTAAACTTTGAAATGCTTTAACTTTGTAATTTTTTGGTTGATTCATAAAAAAACGAGCGAGCCTTACAGTAGTTGCGTATGATGTGTAACATTTGAAACCTCACCTTATATTAACTAAAAAAAGAAATAAAACCTACTTCAAAAGGAATAAGCCATTTCAACATTATGTTCTAAAATCAAATCAAATAGTGCGCGGTTTCGCGACTTCCTGTTACACACTTCCGTCCCATTTCACGAAATCAATCCTACAAATTGCAGGAAAGCGAGAGCAAACATCAAAAATATTCAGCCTAGTGTTTGAAAATTAAACTGAACTAAATAGAAATTTCTTTAATGTATCGGAACCTGTAAATTTAAATCGTCAATCAATCAATCATTTTAATGTGTGTAGATTTCCCTTCTAGCTTGTTGCAGCCTTATTGATAAATAAAACTGGACAGCATTGATATTAATCAGAACCAATTCCCTGGTGTGGTTAAACACTTGTGTTATGGAAAAAAAACAACCACTAAATCCTGTACTGATTAACTGGAAGTTGTTAAACTTTGATCAGTATCATACAATAACTAGTTTTTCCCTGCAGCCATGCGTCGTGTTCTGCGGCCATCCGAGTCTACGATTCGGCGCTGCAGTTCATCTGGTAGAACTTTGGGCCAATAACCCTGCACACGCCATCATATTTACAGGTACATATTTTTTTGTTTCGTTATCTCGTTATAATTGATCTTCTTACGCAACCTAAGCAAGGCATCAAATATAACATTGACATTTCATAGTATTTCATTTTATTCCATCACACTGAGTAGAAATATAAGTTAATACCTGTTTTACAGAACAGGGAAACGATGTGCTTATCTAGGAGAGTAACCCGACCCCATTTTATAGAAGACCACACTGAAATAGACCTGGTGGTGTTTTGTGTCAAAACAAGATAGTACTTGCACCGGTGCATTTTATTATTACTTCTTTTATACTTCTTTACTTACAGAACCCGACTTCCCTCACACAGAGGCGTTAGCACCATTCCAACCGCTGAGCATGAAGGCGTTCCATTGCCCCATCGATACGTCCCTAAACTACTCGCAAGCGAGTAAACTGGTACGAGAGCTGCGACCAAAAGAACTGGCGCTGCCCGACCAATACGCCCCACCCCCTGCACATCATCAACACACGGCACCCAGGTAATCTGTAGACCAGGGATGGGCAAACTGTGGCCCGTTGACCATCTCCGGCCCTCGAATGGTCGAAATCTGGCCCGCGACCATCAAACAAAAATCAAGGGTTCCCACCAAGAAGTACCATATTTTCACATTGACAAGGAACATCCAAGTTCGGCCAATCCAGGTCATGAACTATATGCGTACCAAATTTCTTCCATATCCATTCAGTAGTTTAGGCGTGAAAGCGTAACAAACAAACAAACTCACTTTCGCATTTATAATGTGTTAGGATGTGGTGTAGACCAGGGATGTAACGGAGGTAAATTTATCGGAACCGAAGTCGGAGTCGGGAGTTTTTAAATTTGATTTATCGGAGTCGGAGTCGGAGGCAGAGTCAGAAGTGGTCACAAAAGAGATATTTTTCATTGAAGAACAATTAAGAATATCATTCAGTCAACCTTTTTTGTTTTTAATTATAAAATAACCTTTTTTCATTTATATTCACTTATAAATATGGCCTGGCCTGTGTTAAATAACACAGGCCAGCGTTGCCAGTTTTTTTTGCCAAGTCGGGATTAAGAACTTTTTGAGTGAAAAAAGCGGGATACTTTCGACTAAAGCGGGACATAGTAACAAAAACGTACGTAATGAAAAGTTTTTGAATATTATCTTTTTATTTCAGTTCAAATTACGTTTACGTGACACTAGATAGGTACCTATTAAAAATATCCATAGAAAATATATGTTAATAAAAATATGATATTTTAAATCAGATTTACCCTATCGTTTAATAGTTGAGTCTTTGTTTGAGAGTTCTTCATTACGCGCCGGGCAGGCGGCCAGTCCACACTTGCCTGTGCCACCCGCCCGCGCTTTCTCAGAACGCTGCACGCACGGTCGTGTTATTCCCGAAAAGCGGGATTGAGCTTGTCCCGTGCGGGACATTTAATTTTGATTTAAAAATCGGGACCTCCGATTTAAAAGTGTCTGAATAGAAGTCGGAACCGATGGTGTAATAATAATCGGAAGTTCCGACTTAACGGAGTCGGAGTCGAAGCTCCGGAACATCCCTGGTGTAGACCAGTCTTTCTCAAAGTACGCGATAACACACCCATAATTTATGAACGCTCGAAACCGCGCTTGCAGCTCGATAAGAGGGAGATGTTTATGACTTAGGGCGGCAATAGTTAATTCGTTATTTTTCATTCTGTCCCACAGGGCGCACATAACCACGGAGGTGCCCACAGTGGTAGTGCGTCGCGGCGCCGCGCGAACTTGCGGCGTCCGACGACGCTCCGCCCGAGCTCACCTCCCAGCCTCGTTAGCGGCCGCGGCTGCAGCCCGCGCCGCCCCCGCGCCTACCCCCGCGACAACCGCCCGACCCTCCCCCGCCGCTACTCCCGCGCCCGCCCTACGACTCGCGCCGCTCACCGCCTCGCTGGCGCTGCGGGACAATAGGCTGGACTTGCTGCCCCCGCCGCCGCTGCCCGCCGCCGGCACTTCTACTGCGGGTCAGTGACACTACCAATCCCGCGGCCAGCTAGCTAATAACTAGCGCCGCTCCCCGCCTCGTTCGCGCCCTCCTTAGGACTCGCGCCGCTCACCGCCTCGCTGGCGCTGCGGGACAATAGGCTAGACTTGCTGCCCCTACCGCCGCTACCAGCCGCCGGCACTTCTACTGCGGGTCAGTGACACTACCATCCCCATGCTAGGCATAGGCTAGCTAATAACTAGCGCCCGCCCTACGGCTCGCGCCGCTCACTGCCTCGCTGGCGCTGGGGGACAACAGGCTAGACTTGCTGTCCCCACCGCCGGCACTTCTACTGCGTGTCAGTGACACAACAATCCCCGCGCCCAGCTAACTAACAACTAGCGCTGCTCCCCGCTTTGTTAACGCCCGCCTTACGGCTCGCGTCACTCACCGCCTCGCTGGCGCTGCGGGACAACAAGCTAGACTTGCTGCCCCCGCCGCCGCTGCCCGCCGCCGGCACTTCTACTGCAATGTCACTACCAATCCCGCGCCCAGCTAGCTAATAAAAGAGAATAAAAAAAAATTCTTAGGTTTTATTTCAAAATGGTGGAAAAAAACAAAGTTTTCCATAACTACTCAAGACGAGGAGCCCTCTCCATTGGCATAAATACAAATCACTTCCACCACAAACTAGGTCATCCTCTATTTTACCGCCTTAAATTGTGTTTGTAGGTTTAATTATAGCCTCTAGAGATCCAGGCGTACACTACGTGCGAGTTTAAACAACAAGTTACAAAGATTGTACCTACTGCCTTCCAAAAATTACTTATATTGTCTTTAAACTGTTGTTATCGAAAATATTACTGATAATACATTTTTTCACAGATGCTGAAACGGCTCGCGTCCACTGGGGCGCTTTGGACGTAGAATCGTTCGTATTGGCGCTCGCGCGGGAAGGCATCACCGAAGCGAGGGTCGAAGGAGACATAGTGCATCTACCGCGACACGACACCCTCGTGCAAATAGAAAGACACGCGACCCACGTGTTCTGTGAAGGACGCGCCGATGTGCGGCAAGCGTTAAGGCGGGCGTTAGCTGCGTGTTTACCGCACGTTTAGACGGAAGACGCAACGGGTGAGTAGGTCACTCTAGTGAGGGTAGAAAGAGACAAATAGAACGGCACGCGACGCAAGTGTTCTGTGATGGACGCGCCGATGTGCGGCAAGCGTTAAGGCCGGCGTTAGCAGCGTGTTTACCGCACGTTTAGACGGAAGACGCGACGGGTGAGTAGGTCACTGTAGTGAAAGTAGAAAGAGACAAATGGAACGTCATACTTACGTCACGCGACGCAAGTATTCTGTGAAGATGCGCTGATGTGCGGCAAGCGTTAAGGCAGGCGTTAGCCGAGTGTTTACCGCACGTTTAAGACGGAAGACGCAATAGGTAAGTAGGTCACTCTATTGAGGGTAGAAAGAGACAAATAGAACGGCACTCAACGCAAGTGTTCTGTGAAGATGCGCTGATGTGAGGCAAGCGTTAAAGCAGGCGTTAGATGCGTGCTTACCACACGTCTAGAGGGAAGACGCAACGTATGAGTAGGTTATTGTAGTGAGGGTAGAAAGAGACAAATAGAACGGCTCGCGACGCAAGTGTTTTGTGAAGATGCGCTAATGTGAAGCTAGCGTTAAGGCGGGCATTATCTGCGTGTTTACTTCACTTTTAGACGGAAGACGCAAGCTCAGGTAGGTCATTGTAACAAGTGAGCGCCGGCCACCGGACGATTGAGGCCATTCGTCCGGTGTTGGAGGAGTGGGTGGGTCGCAGTGGTGCAGGTCCTGACCGGATACGAATGCTTTGGTCACTACCTATACCGTGTCGCCCGTCGGGAGGAAACGCCGCATTGTCATCACTGCGGCACCCCGGACGATACGGCCGAGCACACCTTGTTGGAGTGCTCGGCCTGGTGGCAGCAGCGTCGCGACTTGATCGCGGCACTAAGAGGCGGAACAGATGGTAGAGGCCATGCTCCGTAGCGAGACGGCATGGGAGGCGGCCGCCTCCCTCTTGCGCTCTCTCGCTTGCAGAAGAGAGGGAGCGGGAGCAGGTCATTGTAGCAAGATACACAATTAGAACGGCACACGCATTTACAATCTGCAGTACAAATTTATAGATGTCTTACATTGGATTTAAGATAAATTTGGTTAAAAAAAACGTTGAATGCATGTGGCCCTAGACAGCTCTAGGGTTTAAACAAAGTCTAACTTCAGTCCACATTTTGTAATAAAGCAGTAAAAACAAAAATAATATCTGGAAAGAGATCAGCCTATTCTGTTGCACCGCTTTTTCTACTTCACGTACTCTATATGAATTATGATTAAAATTATATACATTATACACCTCCGCGAACTTTTATAGCTAAGCCATAAACAAAGGGGCCTGCGCAATATCAAGTTTATATACAAAAACATCTACTGCGAGTTTGTCTGTTTTTTACCTCAAGAGAGCCGCTACCTACAGCATCTGAAGTCTGATGATTTTAAATATAAACACGAGGAGTTTTCGAAGTAAAAAGAAAACAAATCCAATCAACATTTGAATGTTATCAATAATTTAATAATGAAATTATAATTTACATCTCGTAAAATTTATATACTACAGACAACGTTATCAGATATTATACATAATAATAATAATAATTTAAATGTTGGAACACGTTTCTTACACATAACACAGCACTGTTTTATACCTCGACCCTCAACTAAGTTTATTAAAACACCTATATACGCGCCCGCACAATTTTCCCTAGTTGTATGTCTTCTTGCAGATGTAGTGGCAATATTTTGGCTAAAAGTGTAGATGTGTACACATTTGACTCAAACTTGGCCCTATAAGCATACAGTACCTGCACCGCAAACCTGGCGGAGAGGCGCATTTACCATATGTGCAATTAGCTTCAGAAATTTAAAACTGCGTAAAATACTCAAATAAAAAAAGACTTTTGTATGTAACATTACAAAACTTTTGTTATTTGTCTTCTTATACGTACGAAGCATGAAAGCGCAAAATAAACTACTTACGTAGGAAACATTCCTAGCGCGTATATAGGTGACATTACAAACCCCTATCCCGAAATTTCGTTATGAAATTACTGTATGTTTCACATAAGTACTCACATTGAACTATATACAAGGCGACTTGAATGCTTGAATGACTTTTGAAGTAAAGGAAAACAGCATACAAACGATTTCGCGCGACCGGTCATTCTTTTTGTGAGTTAATTATTACATAATAATGGATGTAGTAGGATTTTTGACAGAGCTGTTTGCAAACTTCACGCGTTTGGGGGCTTATGAGAAATGCCAACAGACATATTGTTTCCGAAATATGAACTTTAGTGATCATAACTTCTCGTTAGTTCGCATCGCACTGCGTTATGTCGCAGCGGGTCAAAACCACTGAAGACATGCGTCGTCGTTTGCATTCTGTCCGACTTTTAAAGTTCGATCGCTATAATACTTTGATGGTGTACACAATAAAAAAAAACATACCAATTTTAGAACAGTCTTAACCACAATAAAACACGACCAACTCTATTGAGCCACTAGAACTTGCCTTACTCTACACGTCGTTTGAATATTGTTAATATGATATGATTACAAGAATACAGTAAGAAACTCTATGATCATACATATAAAGACTACAATCAGTTTTTAGAAAAACATATTTTTTTTTATTAAAATAACATTAGTCTTATATTTTACTGAATTGGGCCGCTGAAACAATAAATAGATTACTTTTAATGCCATTGATTTTTTTTTACAATATACTGATAAGACTGCAGTTATAGTGCAACATTTAGACGATCATGTAACCAATACAATGGACAAACTAATGTTATAATAATATTACAGTAAAGTGGTCTTATGACATCACCAGGGCAGAGTTACCTTCATTCTAATTGAAGAGTAACACATTTCTTACTCATAGAAATATGCTAGTGACAAAAGCAATTCTTATTAACACAAGTTTTTAGGTTTTATTCACAATTAAAACTTTTGTTTCAGTGGATGTTAAATGGCCATGGAATCGCGTTCTACAACAAGCTCTTCGCTAATTTGACGTTTCCCTTGTGACCTTTTTGAAATCTACCCCACAGTCGCAACCAGCCGAAGTTGAAGTCGTATTAAAATATTTGTGATAATCTTATGTGTATTTGTAAAATAGCTTAAGTAAAAGTTTATAACGACCAATAAAAATAAGTTTCTAAATCTGATGACTCTTTTAACAAAACAATCCAACGAAATATAAATTAAAACTTAAACTAACTCTTCAAAGTATCACTTTTACATTGGAATTACAAAATTAAGTGATAAAAAGAAGCCTGTGACAAGTTTTGTTATTTCTTTGTAATGGTAGTCTGATTGACATCACAATTTAACTACTTTCGAGTTGCGACCAAAAAAATAGGACCAGCCGCAAGGCGAGGCGTCAAAGAGCCATGAAAGATCGAAGATTGGTCTGCAAAATGTTATACTTCTTAATTGCCATAGGCTTATACATTCTGATGTCCACACATATTCTGATCACCAAGTAAAAATTATTGATATGAAAGTGATAATACAGACCATTTTTTTTTTCATTTAAAATCTGTCACCACAGTTTAATATTTACTCCCTTCAGGATTTTTATTTACTATCAAAAAAAGTATTTGTATTCTAAGTTTCTCTAATTCCAAATGACCTATTCAAAAATCAAAATGTGGGTCATTCCCAGTTAAATTTTAACACAATCATATCGATATATCACACCTGATTAAGAATACGCACACATTAGAGCACCACAGCATTTCTATACTACAACAAAGAAAGTTTTTTTTGTTAAGAGTACTTCCAAGTCAATTACCATCAAATTGCCAAGTCTGAAATCTCAAAATTGTTGTTCTCAAAATGCTGTGTCACATAACTGAAGTGATACCCATCCCATCATTAACAATTTCAATGCGATCAAAACAAAACACTATCATGAGTATTCAAAACAAAGTCAAGTGAGATACAATGTAACACTAGGAATATCTCTGCCCTTTTCTTATTTAGCTATGGTCCGTCTTGATGTGTTTTTATTATTTTCAGCCACCATCTAAAGCAGCTGTCATCAGACGTCAAATGGCCGGGTGTAATGCAGACATAGAGGTGTAAGAATAGAGTAGGGGAGATATAGACTACTACAAGGGGAAGTGGCCCTCTAATAGAAAGAGAAAGAAGATGAGAGATCGCTAGCTTTCTCTCTCTAATCGTGCATGCGCATTAGCAACCGTAAGCATCTTACTATTTCGATGTGATGCCATTGGATGCCATGCGTCACAAGAGAGAGATATAGTTAGCGGTCTCTCGTCTTTTTTCTCTTTCTACTAGATGGACACTTTTATAGCCGCCTTCCCCACTGTATTCTTATATCTCTATGAATGCAGAGATGTTTTTTTAATTTCTGTTTAAAACGGAAACAGCCACAAAATAAAAAAAAGATGTTCTCTATGTGAAACTGTCCCTCACTTGATCCTAACATTTCCTTTTTCTAATTTTAAATCCGAAGAAATATCCATTTCTTTTTACAGAGGGTGCCGTCCAGATGAATGCGTCTGTTTATTCGCATAGTATAATGTAGTGTAGTCTGATTACAATCAGCCAAATTATCAAAATGAGGTATCTTTACGCGACTTAACTAAGAAAAACGATGATCGTGACCGCAAACCGTGAATCGTTGTTTGTTGTGCATATGTATCGTAGCCACGATAAAAAGATCTCGAAAAACACTCCGGGGCGACTGTCGTGAACCCATAAAATGTCGTCAATGTACAATGGGAACAGCGAGATACGAAACTTGGTAATGACAATAGTTTGAATGACGATACAATGACAACAAACGGCCGATTTAATGGGATCAGCTAGAGACGATAGTCATCCAAGGATAAATTAACCGTCACGACTCACAACAAATTGGGTAACTATTGTTCGTATGACATTGTTGTATCGTAAAAGTTGATCACGAGTCGCGCGTAATATGCATCCGCAAGACATAGACGCACCCTATGCTATATTTTGTTTTAATTACCGAATGGTGAGGTATGTATTTAATTAAATAATCACAAGAACTTCAATTCGTAAAAATGGACGCATTAAGACTAGAAGCTGCTTCATGAAACACTGCTTTACACGCTTGCGATCACCGACGCTATATCCGAATCACCTAAATAATCTGCACCACATCAAATAAAACTTAAAATTATCCTATAACTTTAAGAAGTTGGGATCCGCAAAAAAAGTAAAGAATAGAACATTTCCGTTTTAAGCAAAGATCATTTATAAAAGATTAATAAAAATATATTAAAATTTCTAAAGACATTAATTTGTTATTCTATAGAGATCTTTTAGATTTTCTAGGGGACAAATTTTTAGTTTTTGAATATAACCATTAGTGCATCACGACAACCAGACATCACACAAATCAGACCTGGCCCAAAATCAAATCTACTGAGAAAGAAACGGTGCATACAAAGAGTAGGCATAAAAAGCGCAAAGGAATTTTTACATTGATAAGTGCGGCGCCGCATTCGGGCGCGCTCTGGGCGGCTGGATATAAGCACGAAAGGCGACACGTTTGTCTACGCATTTAGGTCCATATCAGCAAACACATCGCCTCGTGTAGCCACTGTGAGCGCGTAGTGTGTATTGAGTTGTTGTAGCAATTCGCGTTCGTCTAGCATTTCTAGTGACTCGACACGAACGCGGTCTTCTTCGGGAAACGCGCGCCATACTGTTTCCATATCCCAGGCACGTGCTTTGTCGAACCCTAGCGTGACCATACGCTCTGCTTGGGCTGATGGCTCAAGGCAAAGTCGTTCGCAAGCAAGGGCACAACCACGTGCATTTAAATTTCGTAACATTACCTCTCCAAATTTGTCGCCGAGATTACACTGTTCATAGACAAGTAGAGCACAACGTGTAAATGTAGAAGCAAGATGGCTTAGTAATGCAGCAGCTGCATCGGGCCGTAGGTACACAAGCACACACTCGGCCAATATGAGTGTGGGTGCCGAATCATTGATACCACCAACTGCAAGTTTACGGCGCACTTCTCCTAGGCAACGCAGATCACAGCTCAATAGATGGTATCCATCCGAATGCAAGTCGCCCCCACGGATCACCACTTCGCCATCTGATTAAACAAGAAACATTATTAAGCCTATATTATTTTGTGTCATACATATGATTTATGATTAAGCAATTTCCTACTTTGAACATAACTTGTAGTTTTTTATGATACAATTCATGAACTATGAGCTGACAAGTAATGCTAAATCTCACCTTCATTAGAAATTTTTTCAAGAAGCTGTTTGTTACGCTTGATGATGTGACACTTTTTGGCTGTTACTGAAGGGAAATCCAACTCAGTAAAATTGCCAACAGCCTGAGTTGTATCCCTCAGCCTCCAATACAGTGTGTCAAAGCCGCAGCCAAGATTTATAATTTGACATTTTGTGTCACACCTCTGAAATTTTAGTTTACAAATATTATTTTCAATCAATATTAGCTCGAGTCTCATAAAAATGTGTTAAACGAATCTTTCCCAATTCCAATCCTACTATTGTAGAATTTTAGATTGTAGAATCATATTTGATATATAGTAAAACTGTTGGTTTTAGCTGCATCATTAGATGTTATGCACCATTCCCATATGCTATTCTGCATCAACATCTATACTGAATGGCTGCTTCAGAGCAGTGAACTTTTAAGACATTTTCCACAACATCCTCTAATATTTGCTTTAAGTAAAAACAGGATATAAGAAATCAAACACTAACATCTGCTCTCAGAGAAATCTTTGAAAATTTGAAGGTAGTTACAACTTTCAGATACATTTATAATTTTAGTAAACATCATAATTCTTTTGTAATAAGAAAATTCTACTTTTATCCTACTTACTTCTAATATTATAAATGTAAAAGTTTGTCAGTGTGTATGTTTGTTACACAATTATGTAAAAACGGCTGACTGGATTTGAATGAACTTGGTACACATAGTATAGTTTATGACGTGGATAAAAACAGGATACTTTTTGTCCTTGAAAAATTTAGTAGGTTCTCAAAAATAACTATGAGACAGATAAAGATGAAGTCACAGGCAAAAGGTACTATTTTAATAGAAATTATATTCTTTGCATATCTATGCCTTGAGCCATCAGCCCAAATAATCGTAAGATCCCTGTTGAGGGACTTCAACGCTGCCTGGCCATTTGGACACCTAAGCAACTGAAGTGAACTTAATTTCAATCACTTGGATGAGTCTTCATCTGGCATCTCCAAATGGCCAACTTTAAACACCTCAAATTTTTCAAATTGAGTGGTTCTAGTTCAAATACTACCAAATTGAATGCCACGATTTAATAAACAACTTATGCAACCAGTTGGCGGGCTATTTGACGAGATAGCAGCAACATATCCACTGTTCAATCCTTGCCTATATGTACATAAGACAATTGGAAAACTACTAATATATCTGTAAAATATGTCACCATTTAAGATTCACTAAGAGCACTTTGCTATGATTTAGTAAATTTTCAGTTTACTAGTTGAACATGTACTGATGATATGCCAAAAATAAGAATTGAAAATGAGGAAAGAAGGTAATTGCTGTTTTCAATAATTGACTTCTATTACTTAAACCAAGGGAATTTTGCATAGGAAATATCCACATAGGCTCTTAATCACCACTAGAGGAAAATTACAAGTTTATATTTTAATAAAACATTGAAAAATTTAAATTAGTGTTAGAGATTGCAAAAAAATTAACCTCCAAAAATTGATGGATAAACATCTCCATGGCTCGGACTCTGGCATAGTAACCTCGATTTATCTCAGGGGCTTTTCTATCTACATGTTTAACAAAATATGAGATGTAATCGTCCTTCCAATATCCCAACTCCACTGCGCATCTCTTGCATTCTGTAGCGTCGGTATTAGTCGCTATGATGGCTTCATCTTCCGCTCTCCAAGAAATTATATTATCCATGATAAATTTAGACTAATATTCACTTCAAATCTAACATCACTTATAAGCACTTATTGCGATTATTGTGTCCTATAAATTTTATAAATAAACGTACGAAGTAGGTATACCTAACGCAGAAGGTACTAGGTTCCCTATATACTAGTATACTCTATGGTACTAGGATATACCTTTTCTCTTTGGTACTAGGGTACACGGGCTACAATCTTCGAACATTGCTTTTTGTCATTCTACTCGATAACTCACATATCGATTTTGACAGTTCTTCACCCCCTCTGTCGCACTCCCTTTGATACTATACACTGTGGTGACACTATGGGTCAGTTCAAGTGTCAATTTTTGCGTTGATTAATTTCTGTAGCTTATCCTCTTAATATCTTAACTTTAACAGTTTTCTTAAACCCAAATCAATGTACAATACATGCAGTGTTTATAGGTTGTGAGAGTAGAACGAAAGGACCTTGCATTTTATAAAATACTCAAATCTGAGGCCCGTATTATAGAAAGTTTCTCAGTGATTGTCTTATTGTCTAGTCTTGAGCATAGTTAGAAAGGAATGTCGCTATATAAAGCACATAGCGTCATCCCTTTCTACCTGTACTCAAGTAAACATCAACACTTGTTGTCATCAGTGTGACCATTATTAGCAGAATTCTGCTATTTAAGCATAATATGACCCCCAATCTAGGCCTTAGAATAATAATGTGGCAGATTAGAAAAAGTTAACAGATTTTAGCAGAATCTAAAAAACTTTAGCAGAATATTAGCAGATTTCGATATTTTATGAGTTTTATTTGAAAAGTTGTGCAAAACATTAAAAAAAATACAATTTCCAATTACTGTACGGTTTTTTCTTGTTGTGCTATGCACCCTTTTACTCCTTGGGGTACTCTCAAAACATGCGAAATCAGTATTTTCCCTTTAGGAACTGTATAAGCGCCTACTGACATGCCTGCCGCAAGGACAATCTAGGGTGCACGGCGGTCGGGGCAATATCGGCTTGTCTCCACACATACCTGCAATTCAGTGTTCGGAGGTACGTTGAGCTAAACATACGCGTTGCTGATGGTCCCAGTGTTATCAAAAAATCAGAAGATCGGTAGGCTTGGCTTTTTTATAGTGTTACCGCAAAAAAAAGGAAATACTGGGTGAAGAATTGGTAACAGAAAGAAATGTATTGTAAATAAGTAATGTTTATATTACTAGAAAAATATCCACGCGGATTTGGCAGCAGACGGGACTCGTACCCGCACCCTTCGCTAACCGGGCGAATACACTGATCAATTATACTACCGCGGCCCTCACGGCCGTATCCAATTCTTTCTAGCCTTTGTTAAGCTGCAAGGCAGCGCCATCTCTTCGCATTATAAGTAACCCACAATGTCAAATTAATACCTTTACAAGTATTAAACATTTGAAAGAAGAAATAGCAATTAAAGTTAAAATTTAAATTTTTTAAGCATGTAACTGATCAATGTTTGAATGAAAAGAAAATATTACAAGCAAAATTAAAAAAAAAACTATTTCTATTTTTCTAGTAATATTTTCTTTAGATTTAAACATGGAGCAGTTATATACTTAAAAATGTAAATAATGTTTGTTTTTTTTATCCCACATGTGGGGCCGGTCTTTATATACTTCGATCACTCGTGTCCAAACTTCATGTTCATTATGATCTGCCGTCATCTTCATCGAAATACGTGCGCTCCGTGTGACGGCTACCAACCGACTGATTGAGAAATTGCCCCGATCGCGCTTCACACGCGGCAACGTGCAGGGCGGCAGGGACAATCTAGGAACCGAGGGTGGTCTCGCGCTCCTGCCGCCCTGCCGCAGGCCCGATTTATAGAATTGCCCCAACTTGCCTACACACAGCACAATTCAGGAGGCAATTAAGGGTCATCCCCACTCTTACACCCTAGATTGTCCCTGCGGCAGGCATGTCAGTAGGCACTTTATCAGAGAATTCAGGGAGTGAATTTTCTTTGTGTTTGATTAGGCGGTTAACTGTTTAGTAGTCCTTTGTCAACGATGTATCGTGTGTGCAAAAAAATGAATATAAGATAAAAACTATCGCTCGGAGTGGGAAGAGGTTGCTTAGTTTTCATCCTGGCTATCAAGAGTCAAGGATGATACAGATGCCGCTTTTTGTAAACTCTGAGATATGAAATTAATGCCAATACAGACCTAAGAAATAGATTTACAAGTAAGAAGTACATTGAGAAAAAAAAAGTAAAAAGTTAAATGTCAAAATCAATATGTGAGGATTCTTTCTATGTAGTTTTTTTAGCTAACAGTTCGCCGTCTGATGCGCTAGAAAAAAAAATATATATTCTAGCATCACTATATAGTTTGTGCTAGGGTACGTCTCAGAAATTTTGTTTTGTCTGTCCGTTCGTTGCCTTGACCGTCTGGTCTTTTTTTATTTATTCTGGCTTTGTATATCTGGCTCAGTCCTTTAGCCGAGTCCGTCTCGTGGCCTGATATGGATTGCCAGATGCAGTTTTTGGTGGAGCGCCTGAGGGTTTATACCTCGGATTTTTACAACAGTGAATGAAATTAAAAAAATCTAAATGGAATTTTCAGCTTATAATACATATAAAAAAAGTTCACGTATTAAAAAATTGTAGCGGTATTGTCATATGTTAAGTTCACTAGCCGCTTTTAATATATGAAACTCCTCTTCTTTTTAGGGTTCCGAAGAAGAAGATTCCTCTAATGTCCGTCTGTCTGTCTGTCACCAGGCTGTTTATATAAAGCTGTACATAAATTACGAAATATCCTACAGTAAAGTCAACCAAGGCCGTTTAATTTACATTCCTAACTAGCAACATCGCAATCAAATAATAAATTATAGATTAGAATAGACTCAGAGCTGGTATTAAAAAAATGCAGGGTGAACTTACTATTATTTAAGAGTAAAAATTGTACGAAAATAATTTGTATATTTCTGTCAGACGTTTGATCGTCGAAGGTTTATTGTAAAAGTTTATTCCTATTTCTCCGCTTGGTAAGTAATTTGGTTTAAAACCTTCACTTAATTATTACATGATCAATTCAATAATAGATAAATTAATAACTAAAGGTCAATTCAAGTAAAAAAATGGATAAATCGCAACCAATTTATTATTTGATTGCGATTTTACTAGTTGGGAATGTAAATTAAACGGCCTTGGTTGACTTTATTGTAGGCTATTTCGTAATTTATTTACAGCTTTAAATAAATAGCCTGGTGACAGGCGGACATTAGTGGAGTTTCATATATTAAAAGCGACTAGTGTTTTCGTCACACAAATCATATGACACTACGATCACAATTTTTAATAGGTTAACTTTTTTATATGTATTATTAGCTGAACATTCCATTTGGATTTTTTAATTTCATTCACTGTAACTGAAATCCGAGTCTTTCATTTATTTAACGCCTTGGGAACTGGAACTTTTTTGATTTCCCCCAAACTGATTTTTAAAAAATACCGCAATCAACCGCACTCGATGAAATCCTGCCAAAAACTCTTAATAAGAGAGAAAAATAAACAGTGCTGCCAGGTATGATTTTTAATTTTCGATGAATTGAAAATTATTGTGTCTATTTTAAAAAAAGAAAGACTAGTAAGTATCGTAGCTTTTTTACAAAAAATCACCAAAGCTTAATTTAACAAATAAATAGCGGTTTGGCCATAAGATTATGAAAAAAGCGAAACAAACAAAACAAACTTGGATAAACGAGTGTACTAGTAGACAGACCATTACGCGCGGCGAATAAAAAATTGACAGCAAAATTTTTATTATTTTAACAGCTCAGAAATCATATCAGAAATTACCCCCAAGTTCAATTTATTATTTCCCACTATTTCACCAAAATCGTATATAAATATCCCAATCTGGCATATGGCAGCTGAAAAATGACCTCACATATCATAATGCAGAAAGAAAATCGACTGACACCTTTTTCCCATTGGTCGAGGTTTTTGGCGGGATTTCACCGAATGCGGTTAGCGTCTTATTTTAATTATTCTTAAATTATTGTGAAATAAAATTGGTATGATTTTGTGTTACAACCGTCTGCGCAACTGAAGAATTAGTGGAATCTTTAAAATATACGCTATTGCGGTCAGTGGCGGATTTACCAGTAGGCTCAGTAGGCTGGAGCCTACGGTGGCAGATTTTAGGGGGCGGCAAATTTGGTCCAAAATATACCAGAAAAACAAGTGACAAAAATTTTAATATTTTAGTAAACCGTATACAGGTTGTTACAAAAATACAAATAAAGCTTGATGGGCGTTGAAGTACATCATATAAGGAGTCTTCTCTAATTTTCTTAAAATATTTGCATGAAGTTTTAACTTTTTTATAAAAACAGTTATTTTTAATGATTAATAAAAATATCGATAATTTTAAGATACGTCACTAGTTCGAGGATCATTAAAAATAACTGTTTTTATATAAAGTTACAAATTCATGTAAATGTTTTAAAAAAATTAGAGAAGAATCCATATAATATGATTAACTTCAACGTCCTTCAAGCTTTATTTGTATTTTTATAACACCCTGTATAAAAGATTACCAAATCCACTGTAAAATATAGGTACTTATGCGATCATGAATTTTAAAATATTCCAATAGCTTTTCAATGGTGCCAATTCTGGCGTCATTCTCTAAACTTAAAACTAAATTTAACATCAGTCTCTCCTTTTCATTCTGTATGGAGAATGACAAGGATATACTGCTGTCAAATTTAAGTTTAGGTTTAGAGAATCATGCCAGAATCGACACCAATATTAATTACAATTTAAATTTAGTATTTTTTAAACTAACGGGGAAAAGCCCGTACGTAATGTGGACGATAGAACACAAATCATAAAGTTGCAATTTCAGAATAAATATAATTGTAAACTAGCGTATTGAATTTCAAAGGTCAGTATAGGCGGCAAAAATTTAATAGCCTATTAGGGGCAAATTTGTAAATCCGTCACTGATTGCGGTCAAGTGGACGTGAGAACTTTATTGTTGTATTGACTACCTCACAGAAGCTTATCGAAAAAGCCAACTCGAGACATTTCGTGCCAAACACTCTAACAAACATTAGAATGGGTCACACCGACAGTGGTGTCGATTCTAGAGTGATTCTCTAAACTTAAAACTAAATTTAACATCAGTCTCTCCTTTTTATTCTGTATAGAGAATGACAAGGATGCACTGTTGTCAAATTTAAGTTTAGCTTTAGAGAATCATGCCAGAATCGACATCATTGTAATGTAAAAAAAAGAAGATTAAAGGTAAGTAAAGACCTGGCTGTATGGGCATTGTTCCTTTTGCCTTCCCTAAAACGGGAGAATCTATTTGTAATCCATTGGTCGATCATTGACGTCCAAGTATTTCTGTGCCGGCACTTCACTTGGCTATTCGTGTTTGCTATTTGTAAAGTTGACATCAGTCAGTCCGTCTTTTTCCTCCTTTATGAAGTATGATAAGGACAGGCTCCTGTTTAGAACTAGCTAATACCTAATACGAATAGTCAAGTGTGGCATTAGGTTGATTCCACGGGGTAAACGTAGCCCTGGTTAACAGAGAGAAGGAAAAAACAGATCTACTTTCGCAATATTTCGTCGTAGGTAGTCGTTTCGTAGTGTGTGGCTCGATTATACTATTTATAACAAATGTAAACAGTTTATTTTCTTTATAAAATGGGTTCTCCTAATTCTAACACTTTACCTATTATCTTGGTTAGTGCTAAAGACCAAGATTCAGCGAATACAGTAATAGCGGGTAAGTCGGAGAATCACAACTTCGTTTTAGTTAATAGTTCAGGAGCTAACAAAACTATATAATCACGCATCTGCCCCCCTAGCATGAGCACCGCGATATGATAATTTAACGCGTTTTATCACGCTCAATTGTCAAATTACTATAGAGTTTGACAGTTAGACGCGATAAAAAACGTGATATAATGTAAATTGTGGTTGCTCATGCTACCGGGATTGGTCAAAATCCTTTTTTTACAGTCTGGAGTTGAATTTGAATCACAACTCATTTTCAAACAAAACCCCCTTAAACAGTGTTTACATTACTAAATTAATAAATTAAAAACCACGCCAAAAGCTGTAGATGTGTCATTCAGTTGTTACTGCTTTTGTAAAATTAATTTTATTTAATTATACCGCTTTGTTCGCTGGCTCCTCACTTATCAAAACCTTCGAGCAAACGGAAGGTAATGAATTATTGGTATTGGCAGAAGCATGAGAGATAAAGTAGATGTAGTAGAAGGGAGTTGCATTGCCTTAGAAGTCTAAGTGATGTGAATAAACCCATCTGGGAAACGGGGCTGTCATGAAGATGATGATTCATGCATTTTGATTGTATCACAGGCATATTCTCAGTTTGCTTTTATTACTCTGTTACAAATTTGACTGAGTTCTATACTTAATTATCTCATGTTTCATTTTCAGAAGTTATTAGTACACCAGATGTACCTGTCAGTAAGAAGTCTGAAAGTAATCATAACCATATATGGAGGCTTGTCAACAAATATTACTCGGCTGATGTGCAACTTCTTGCGTTAGCAGATGGGGAGGCATTGAAGTCACAACAAGAAGATCTTATTGAAGGCCACATTGTTTTCCTTACAGAAGCTGAGGTGATAATTTATTTTGAGAAATAAGTATAGAATTTTTGTTTGGCTATGTGCTTAAACTTCTCTTTTTATAACTTTGCAACTGCAAAATGGGTTAGCTTCTAATAAACTAATTTATCTTTTTTACAATGCAAACTAAATATTTTACAGAAAGCATCAAGTAAATATCAACAATAACTTTTACTTGTCCTACTAATTTATACATTGCCACATAATTTACTTACTCAGCTGCAGTTTTAACAACTTATCATCATTTTACAGCTTCAACACAAGCTCCTAAAAAATATATCATTTAAATTTCAGTAGACAACATCATATATTTTAAATTAGCATCATTTTTAATAAATAATATTCTTTCATTGTGACAATAGCCACTGCATGATTTGGCGTGAATGCGCTAGATGACAGCGACTACCCATTTGCACTAATCAGAGAGCTCCATATAATTTATTTCCCTATGAGTTACCAAAGAGATCTGTTCTAATAGTTTGTATATTATGTTTGTCTGCCACCCTGTTTGGTTCTGTCCATAAGTAACACTACCCCCTCCACACATAAAAACCATAGCAATATAACACTACTTTTAGTGGTTTTATGAAGTGGCACACTCAACGGCACCAGCTACCTTCTAGGCTAATGATGGTTATGTGCCTTGTTTCAAAATAAACTTGAATTACTCTGTAGCATTAGCATTATTTGCAACTTCATTTTACTACTTGTTCAGTGGTCACAAAACTGTATTGTGACCTCAGCAAATGTTCATTAACATCAAGAATTGAGTAATTAATTCAAATTTGTGTCATCACCTCTCTCAAAAGGTTTGATTTAGTGTTTGGTGTGTATGAAAACATAAGCAACAAGTAAGATTAATAGTCTATTTTATTGTATATTTGCATTAGGCATCAAGTGATTCTGTCATTGAAGTGATGAAGCAGCGCATGCATAATGGCAAAGCTGCTAATGTACGAGTAGTCGTGACAGAGAATGAGTTTGAAGATAGTGCATTGGTTGCCATTGCTGCCACATGCCACTATGAATTGATTCCTTTACATGCCACTGCTGATCCTGATGCTGGCGAAGCCGCTGGACCTGAGCGCATAAAAGCAGCTTTCCATGCACATGTATGGCCTGGCATGCAACCCTTTAATTGCCTACCTCTGACATTAGGAGGTACGTACTTCTTAAAAACTTTTTTAAAAATAGTTTCATGGTAAAATTAGATTTGGTTCATTAAAGGCTAATAAAGACCTACAAAGAATCCAACAACATTTCATCACACACAATAAACTATTGTCTGGGGCTCTCAAAATTTTTGTATTGGAATAATGGACAGTTGCAAGTATATGCCACAGGCTGCACTAAATAACAGTATTCAGTAGTGCTGTGCATATCCAATGAGATACACCATCCTACAGAACAGCTTTAGGTTAAGATTGGCAAGGTAGTTGGTATGGTAAAAGTCCATATTATGACCTAATAATGTCTTTATTTCTGAAGCTTGCAAGCTTGCAGAATTATCCCAATTTCTGCTGGATCAATATATTACACTCATGCCTGTCCCCTTATTGAGAGCACGACGATATGATTTAGTCCATGTTTTTATCAAAGTACCTACTATGGAGTTTGGCAGTTAGTGATAAAACATAATAACACTCAATAGAACTGGATTGATATCTTCCGTTTATTTTTCAGATAACGATGACAGCGACTCAGATTCATGGTCGTCATGGCAGGGAGCTGATGAAGTTTTAGACGATAACGAGAGCAATGAACGCTGGGTAGAAAGAGCAGAAGCGTTTGCGGCCGCGTTAGGCTCGCTACCGCAGGCGGCGGCCGCGGTGCGGGCGGAACGCGGGGACCGAGCGGTGCGTTTAGCGCGCGCAGAACTAGTCCTGGCAGCATTCTGCGATGCGTTAGGCGAGCCGTTGCATCTGCCACAAGACCGAATAGATCGGGAATTGTAATGTTGGTAGCACCTTGATGATATTGTTCTTGCTCCGGGGCCCTCTATGTTCCGAATCATGGATAACCTGCGGGCGGTTTAGCGCGTGCAGAACTAGTCCTGGCAGCATTCTGTGATGCGTTAGGCGAGCCGTTGCATCTGCCAAAAGACCGAATAGATCGGGAATTGTAATGTTGGTAGCATCATTTGTTCTTGCTCCGGGTCCCAGGTCTTCAGGTCAGGTTTTCTCTATGTTCCGAATCATAAGGATAACCTGCGGGCGGTTTAGCGCGTGCAGAACTAGTTCTGGCAGCATTCTGCGATGCACTAGGCGAGCCGTTGCACTTGTCTCAAAAACGAATAGATCGCGTATTGAAATGTTGGTAGCATCATGACGATTTTGTTCTTGCTCCGGGACCCAGGTCTTCAGGTCAGGTTTTCTCTATGTTCCGAATCATAAGGATAACCTGCGGGCGGTTTAGCGCGTGCAGAACTAGTTCTGGCAGCATTCTGCGATGCGTTAGGCGAGCCGTTGCATCTGCCACAAGACCGAATAGATCGGGAATTGTAATGTTGGTAGCACCATGACGATTTTGTTCTTGCTCCGGGACCCTCTTTTCTATGTTCCGAATCATAAGGATAACCTGCGGGCGGCTTAGCGCGCGCAGAACTAGTCCTGGCAGCATTCTGCGATGCGTTGGGAGAGCCGTTGCATCTGCCACCATCTATTGTACGTCAATTATCAAAGTCAGTGGGCTCTCGCAAGCGCTCGTTATCGCACGCTCTTCGCTGTGCACTGCGTTGCATCGTAAATCATCAAATTATTAGTATTCTGTGTTAATTATTAAATACTGTAAATAATTTTAATTAAGACTTTAAATATAACGTTGTAATCTGCTTTTGTTACTATTAAATACTGTTAATAATAAAAGGCCGCATTAGGCCAGGCAGTGTGGTGGACTATGGCCTTAACTCCTTTATACGAAAGAAAATGTATATTCCAGCAGTGGGATATTATAGACTAATGATGATGAAGTTTTACAACTTTTATTTAACATTATAGTCCGGCGTCCATATTATCGTACTGATTATAAAAATCTGAGTTTTTTCTTAGATTAAAACAAAAAGGGAAGATACGGCACTTGCGGCTCAGAAATAATCCACTTAAATTGTGGTGCACGATCACAATTCGCTGTAGTCACAATTGGACATTCAAACACGCTGCATGTATACTCAATATAACAATATTGCGTATATTCTGTGTTATAAAGATAAACAATGCCTTCGATGCTTTTATAAAGAACCCAAATACTTAGTTCAAAATCCAATAACAAATGCCTCGACAACACTTCTCATTCGTAAAACTGTATTTTTTTTTCGTAAATCACTGTTTGTCGTGAATGTTATGTACGAAATCGCCATTTTGTTATCAAGAAAAGGACAACAATACAGCTCAACCGTTCGCACTCGGAAGCTGATTCGTCGTTTCCCTCGCTCTGCGTTGAAACGGACAGTTGTCTCGCTCGCTCCATTTAATGTTATTTACAGATGTGTGCCTGAGTGAAAGTTGCTTATGAAGATAGTCGGATCATATTTTATTTGATGCTAGTATGAGCATACCGTATATTCCTTTTTTATTTTAATCTAAGAGTTTTTCAGTTTATCAATAATTTTAATTTACATTTGAAATCTTAAACAAGCAATTTAGGTACTGTAAATTGTTGAGGAAATAAAGCGACTTCTCCAATAAAAAATCAAATACGTCCGGTCGCTAGATATACCTATTTATGAACAGTACAAATTATTGTGTGTATGAACACGGCACAGCACGGCTGCGAATCGGTAACAATCCTATAGTCGAGCGTATCACACTATAATATTATAAAAGCGAAAGTTTGCGAGTGTGTGTGTATGTTTGTTACTTCTTCACGTCTAAACGGCTGGAGTGATTTTAATAAAATTTGGTATGGAGTTAGCTGACACCCTGGATTAACACATAGGCTACGTTTTACTGGGGGAAAATATCCCTAATAAACCGCGGGTAACACCGCGGGGCATAGCTAGTTAGACATAATTTAGCACGCAGCGGTCGGCAACGCGTCGCGGGATGGAGTAGGCTATTATCGCTATAGGTACACGAATTTTGTCGGGATTGATTTATCTGTTACGTAGTAACTATTAAGTAATATGTGGTTAAAGTTAGACAATCAGGGTTATTGTACACGTTTGTATGCAATGTGCACATTCCACCAATCCTAATAAGTTGCAGACTATTTTCTGCCTATCTACTTTTATGCGATTTGTTAAATGAGTTTATTCAGAACCAAATTCAACTCTTATCTGTCAGTAATAAAGTCGTCTGTCTAAGGTAATCTAAGGCCGGGCTGGGCCCAAAATATCGCAGATCATATGTAAAATATAAATGAAACAATATTTATAGTTAATAAATTTTTATTTGTGTTAATGATTGTGTTTCATTATCTTCAACCAATAACAAACGTGATTGCGTGCTTCACAATATCTTTGGAATAGCAATTTTAGTCTTTATATAAATAAAAAGAAGCTTTATGCTACCCTACAAAAACTATAAAAAAATATTCTATAAAATCACTGGTATCGCATGTATGTGGACGATTGATGCGCTTTAAAGAACAATTGTTACTTGATATATATAATATGTACAGGTCACTGAGACTATCATGCATCGCAAATTGAATTTAGGCGGATTTAATCCAAAATAGGCCTTCATATGACTACAATAAGGCACAGCGGCAAGATAATGACAAAAATCAGTTTCTCACGCAGACTGATGAGGCCGAACATGAAATAAATCTAAAAACCAATTCTCTTAATTGATTCTTCTCACTATAACCGTACTTTTTATGACAAGCATACTGTCTGCGACAGATCAGACTACAAAAATAGCTAATTATTAATAAAGGCTCCAATTATTTGAATTCTTTAAGATTATGAACCTTAACAAACAAAGAAAAGCCAGGATTCTACTTCTCATTAATTAAAACTTACACCATTTGTAAGCTATAAAATTATAAAGCGGTTAAGTGTAACATAATCGAGCCTATCAGTTTTCAGAGCTCAATGCTTATGATATAATACATGATGATGATGACATAGTTATAATTAGGGCTGCCAACATTTTCTAACCCGGTTTAATGTCTATGCCACCAGTCGATCATTAATAAAATAAAAAAATATCTTTTGCTATACATAAATAATCACAATTTTAAACAAAATATTGTGAGAATGCTCTTTTTTTAAACATCTATATTTGCACACAAACGTTTACTTCAGCTTCCCATTATCTATTGGGGCTAATTGCATGCTAATTAAACATATTCATGTTTTCTTCCGAAAGTGCAAATAAAGACTTGATTTTGCATTATGGCCCAAAAGTCGGCAACCCTAAAGGCACGGCATAATATACATATCACAAAAGCTTATTTATGGCAGAACTACACTTATCTGTCGTGTTGTGTTGTGTGTGGCGCATCAGAGAGCTGTGTTTCATACATTTAGTATGTTTATAGTGATAACGGTGTTACACATCGCGACACACAAGTATAGTTGTAATCGTACTAATGTATGATCGCGATCACAACACAACACGACAGATAAGTATATTTTCTGCCTTTAGTCTCTTATGTAAAGGCACGTTTACATTGCGGAGCTGCAGATTAAGATGATAACATTGCCAGCAGCATGTTTGCTTAGAGTTTGGACCCGTTTCAAACACGATAAATTGTATCCAATATTTGTATTGAGGATATAAAAGAAAATAGTTTTAAATATGTAGTCGATATATATGGATAAGTAGGTAGGTACTCAGGGGCGTATTCTGAAATCTGGCGGCCCGGGCCATTTACAATTTAACCAAAGCATTAGTAAAATACGCCCCTGTAGGTATTCTAACTGCAAAGCCACTATAACAGCGCAATGAAAAAAACAAGCGCTAGGTCTATCCAAAGTCTAGTCAATACGTTCAAAATTATTCCATATTTTTAACTCTGTTACTCAAGGTGCAAATTCTTTTGGATATGCATCAACGTTTAGGATTTTAATCAATGTTGGAATCACAGAAGGCAGATTAGACAAAAGCATTCAATTCTTATAAAATACTGTGCTCAGCCTATTGTATGAAGCGTTAACATTTGTAATACTAGGTTTCATATTGTAAATAACATTATACCTACTTTTTAAGTAAGTAAATTAGATAAACATATCAACTATTCATATGTAATTTAGCTTAAGTTTCATAAGACAATAGATCATTATGATTAAAATAGTGATACGTGTGTAAATTTTGTTATAACGAAAACTATAATATGTTTTCTTCACATAGTTCTACCGAATCTCGAATAAATGCCATTGTCATTAGGCAAATATCCGTATAATTTACAACTTTTATAATAAAAGCGCTTTATAATAATAAAATGTAAAACATTTTATAAAATGTTGTAATAAGGGTTAAACATAACAAATTTAACAGCTTTTTACATAGTTAGGACACTTAACGATATCATAAACACAAGTAAATAAAAATAATTTATAAAATATGTGTATAGGTATTAAGAACAATAACAAAACTCATTTATGTACATAGTTGACAAAATTTGTCAAGTTATAATAACCAGATTACACCAGCTGCCGTTTATAATAAACCGCCGTAGATGTTTTTGTTTTTAATAAGTGTTTTAACATTACTACACGAAAAGTTGCAATATTACTGAGTTGCAGAGTATTTAAGAGTCTTGATACGCGAAACACATTAACTACAAGAAAAAAACAATGTTCGTGATGTCACGAATTTACTGTTTGCTAAAGAAGTTAGAAAACGGCAGATTAAATATAATCTAGTTATTGTCAAAAAATTATGGAAAGGAAATCGAGCATAATATTAATTATACCTATTATTCACTAACAAGAAAATAATTCTGCCTTTTTTTGTTTTTTTTTTCAGCAAAACCAATAATTGTCCCATTCGGGAAACTGTTTTCTATCATAAATTATCACGGATTATGATAACTAGGCATAGGTTAGGTATATTAAACAATTTTAAACTCGAAATATACCAATGCCTTTCTTATTTTAACATTAGTAACACCAACAAAAGCAACAATAACAATAATACAATCAAGAAGGCATAGTGAAGAGCCACAATAGAACTTTTATTATCCAATGTTAGCCATATTATTATCACAAGAAGGAAGTTAGCCTCAGATACACAGCCACATTCGCGTGCAGTGTTGCCAACTTATATATTTTTTTATTCAATACGTTTTCCATGACACCCTTCGGTGAAATATCATCATACTATTCGCGGAAACATTAGTGGAACGCTTTCTTTATATCGCTCACAAAAGTTAAATTGCAAAACTGCGTCACAAGGGAAAGGGTCTTCCGTCATTGGCTGGATAAACGAAAACACAGCGTAGCGTCGTCACTACAACCAATGACAGAAAAGCTTATACAAGATCACTTGCGTGAACAGAGTTTAGTATCGAATTGGTTTATAACATACATTTTAAGAATAATTCTACATAGAAACAGTGTAGTTTCAAATTATAATCATCATAACAGACAACATTGGTAGTCCCGTTTTAGTTGGTAACACTGACACACACAACAGCATAAACAAGCGCTCCTGAAGCTAAAATCTTCGTCAAAACACTCGAAGTTAATATTATTTTACTAACTACTACTTAATTATACATAAAAACGCTGAAATGCTCAGTTGATATTTTTGTAATATAATAAAATAATATCTAAATATAATAATAACATACTCACTCATTTACCCGAACCCGAGATGTGCAAGATATAAAATTCAAATGTGATGTTAATAACTTATGTAGTTACAAAATTGTCATTTTCAATGTTGCAACGAGAAAATCGAATTTTCCAAGTCAGCAGATACCTATTTGATTTTAGGATAACAACATTTTCAGTCCATAACGTGTTTTTACGATATTTTTTTCTTTTTATCGATCGTATTTAAATAATACATTTCATAATAACAATATAATATAATAATAACGTATACATTAATGCATTATACATAATTTTAGGTACATAATTTGTTCGGTATTGATTTATTTAACGATCCATTCGGATGGAATGCGTTTACAATATAACTATGACAGTTAAAACAAACAACTACAATAGCTAAAATATAGTTATATAAGTTATTTACGGGAAGGTTACCATGTACCTTGTTTTAAGCAAGTTTATATCGAGGTAGGCAAATGACTCTACCCCACCTGATGTTAAGTGGTGATAAAGTCTAAACGCGAAGATAGCTGGTACAGCAGTTACAAACTGTTACACCAACCATCCTCACCTTGCCGGCCTGCAAAAATGCTTCTTTAATAAGTTTCCGATAAAACGAAGTAAATTGTAACAATCCCATAAATAACTTACTCATATATGACTATAATTTTTGTGACCATGAAAGTTTTAAACAATAGTCAAAAAAGTTGAATAAATTATAGAGAATATTGGTACATAGATACAAACTTATTCCAGATACGCTGCCATAATCAAAGACTGCTAACTTAAAGCGGTCTTACCAATTTAATAATAACTGGTATTACTAGAACAAGTGATATGGAAATTTCAACTGAGAAAAACGCAAAAATATTGTTGCTGCCACGCTTCGTATTAATACTCTATTGTTTATTATAATAATTATTGTTAAATCCAAGAAGATACCAAGCTACGATTATCACCTACATATCTCTTAAGGTGCGTCCAGAACAGACTACGCTGTCTACACTATACTATATTTAAAAATAAAATACTGAATTTATTTTTTTCGAATAATTTCTCCACAATAACTCACTATTTCTGCAAATATGAAACCTTAACAATTTTAATTGTTATAAAAAGATTCAAATAGTACTACTTTTATAATCTCCGTACTTTAAACGGATAATAATTTCATATAGGTATGTTATTAATTTTAAAATTAATATTTTGTAAAAGATATAAATCAATATTTTTGTATGGGGTTGTAGTATGTTTACTTTCTTTAACTTCGCACTACACATTTCGCATTTACACGATTTTTAAGTTTCTCGAGTAACTTTAAAATTCACGGTGTATGATTTATAGCTGACAATACATTTACACATCATACGAACTGGTAACGTCTTGGACCTTAAAAACAGGAGATTGTATAAAAAATATTAATTTATTGTGGCCTGCGTATCCGGCTTTATCAGAGTGTATCCATTTAACCTTTGTGTAAAAGTAATAATTAAAATTGAACGTGCGCGGCACAACAATTATTACTCATTGTAAAATCTCTATCTTTGGTATCACCGAGTCGGCTCACAAAGGATATTGAAAATACAATAATCTATTGTAATATAAATTTACCGTGGAAAATTTTTAAATGATCCTCAAAAAAGTACTACTGGGATGGGTTGTCAATATTCTTGTTGTGCCTATATATGCCAACCTATCACCTAGCTGTAGAGGTTTTTGGAGTACATCTAGCACTTTTTTTTTATGGTCGTTTAAATATGTCCCATTTATCATTAACAATATCTTCTAGTTTGTGTTTCCGACGTATCTTACATAGCTACATAGCACCGTTCCGATAGTTAGCGGCCAGCCGTCAAATCCACGACAGGCGAATACTTTTCGTTTATTTATCACAATAAAATTTTAGTATAGTAACATAGTGAACTTTATTAGTCAGATACTGTTACACATTGTCTTAATATTCAATGGTGTCGATTCTGGCAAAATTCTCTAAACCTAAACTTCAATTTACCAACAGTGTATCCTTGTCATTCTCTATACAGAATTAAATGGATAGATTGATGTTAAATTTACCTTTAAGTTTAGAGAATCATGCCAGAATCGACACCAGTAGCTACCTACACTACTGGAAACGAAACGGGGATCATTTGTGTTCATGTATTTTTCATTAATAGATTAGTATTCATAAAAATTTACTATACTTAAGTTTAGTAATTTTTTGTGAATACGTAAATACATACATGATTTAGGAAACTTAGTGAAAATTATTTATTTTGAAAATATACATGACCACCACAACAAGATCAAATACGATAAAACGATATACATACACAATACATACATTAGTGTGGTGAGTGTCGATTTACTTATGTGGTCATTTTAGTGGCGTTTATAGATACTTCTTATTCGATAGTTTTAAAATCTTTGAGTTATCCTTGTCTTTTAATATTGACCGTAACAGAGGTATTTAATAGAATATAATTTAGAAAATGTGCAACAGTATCTTTTCCAGTACACGTACTTTTATTTTTTATTATAAATATAGTAATTTTTAAATAAATACCCTGTCCGACTTCGGTCGGTGCGCTTTATTCAAATCTCTCACAGTGGCTTCAGAAATCTCTAGAAACTATAAGTATATCGACAAAAACCACCGGCGTTTTTTATTTCTAGCATAGGCACGTAAACTTAAAATTATTTTGGTAAAATTCGGTATCGATTAAGGTATTAAACGATTAGCGAGACAAACGTCAGTTGAAGTTTTAAATATTAAACGTTGGCGCACCTACACAGCATTATCATCAACAAAAGGGATTTTCCGATTTCCGCATACCATTTCTAGGTAATACTTACCTACTAAATACTTATCTTGAAGTAATAATTGTCGTAAATATATCTTTGAACAAATCGGCGCATTCCTATGAATGTGAAAAATTATGACTTCGAGATGATAAGGATAAAGAATACAGTTGTTGAATTGACAACATCGGTAAGGAGTTTCCACAGGAAATGTAGATTTTGAAAACGCTATTTTTAATTATATTAGCATTGGTTTGAAATAAGTATCTAAAATTCATATTCGTTTCAAAGGATATGTACCTATATTCATTTGAAGCTCCGCTTTTATATGTACCAAATTGACATCCCTTGCTATTCGAATTTTTATTTAATGTCTAAAAAACTTATTCCTTTCAGCCTTTTGATAACAACAAGTTGTTCTAAGGAACGGTCTGAAAAGCCTCATTATGTTTGAAAACTCCCGCTTTCTTTATTGTAAAAATAATTAAACTGTACCGTGTAGGTACGCCAATCACACAGGTATACAGACTAACCAAAATCATCATCGAAAAAACTGACCCGAAATAAATGTTTCCTTCTAAGTTTGAAACAAAAGTTTAATCAAAAATTTACTCTGTCACAGTAAAATTCTCAAGCAACTCTGTCTTGCGGAATCATTGATTTAGTTTAATCGACAAAAAGTGAGGTCGTTTTTTTCGATGACCACCTTACGCTCTTCGTAAGCGTCAACCGCAATCGTTCTTAATTGTTATTCGACAACTTTAGGATGTCTGGGTGTTTGAGTATCGCACCGAAGTATTGCACGGCAAGTCGGGACAAGTAGTGGTCTCGTGGTGGGGATGATGGCCACCAGCCTTCTAGGAATCCTATGTGTCCCCCCCGAGCTGTCACCGCTAGAGCTACTCGTTCGCTTTCCGCAGCTTCGGCAGTTGGAATAACTGCACAAGTTATGCTTGTTAGACCTCTAATTTTAGCTTATTAATATCCCCGCGGCTGGGAAGGGAAAAATGGGCGTTAACTCACCCGCATGGTAAAGACTCCATATGCCGGGACCAAAGGCAAAACTTGCCTTCTAAAACATGGAAGAATGTCGTTTTATTACCATTATAAGTCATAAGTATGAATAAACAACAGTTATGTTTTATTTTTTAAGCATTTACGGGTTCGCGTCCCGACTGCTGCCTGATCCGCGTGGATTTTTTTGTAGTAAACTTTTCTTTAGATTTAAACAACAGTGTCTGAAGTTGCTTTGTCAGTTGGTAGGTTTTTACTGTCTGTACGAGAAAGTAAGCAGCTGCTGCATAATTATACTTAATATACATATACTTGACGTACATATTTGAGTCAAACTATACTCCAATCGAGGATATCGAAGACGCATTAGATCTGGGTTCGTGGAAGTTAATCATGGGTGACTAAACATTTATTATCCTGAGTTCCTCCGTGCTTCGTATGGCACGTTAAGCACGGTCGTTTGCCATAATCGTTATTTTGCCTATAGGAAAGTCTTGTCTTGGACATCAATAGGCTGATCATGATGATGATATTGCAACTTAAAACATTATTCAAAAATCAAAACTCACCCTCCAAAGGTTGGAACGGGTCATCAGCTGCGCACAAGCACAACAGTGGTACGCGCACCCTGTTTAGTTTCCCTCGTAACGACGCTTCTCGGTAATAGTCGTCTACGGTCGGGAAGCCGAAGTGGGGCGCGGTGAAGATGGAATCAAACTGGCGGACGGATCGACACCGCTCTAAAGCACCCCAGTCGAGAACGGCGCCTAAGGTGCGCATCGCTTCGACGGCACGTCGCAGATTACGAGCTATGTGGTACGAGAGAAGTGCGTTCACAGGCCACCGCTCTATGCACTCCGACCCTGGTCAAAACGCGAAAAACTTTTAATTGAAATAAGAAAAAGAAAGAGGAAGGATGAACCTCACAAGACGTTACGTAAGGACATGGTTTAACGTGGCGTAAAGGGGCTTTATAACGGTTTCGTAATTCAGTAATAATCGGCTTCAGTTGGAAAGCCGACGTGAGGCACGGTGAAGATTGAGTTAAATTGTCGGACGGATCGACACCGCTCTAAAGCTCCTCAGTCGAGAACGGCGCCTAGGGTGTGCCTCACTTCGACGACCCGGCGCAGATTACGAGCTATGTGGTACGAGAGGTGCGTTCACAGGTCACCGCTCTATGCACTCTGTCCGTAACTGGATTATAGGTTACACTGGGTAAATCGCTTAAATTTAATAGCTATCTAATATAAAACTACGAGGAGGAACTCAATGGCGCAAGCGGTTAGGGCATTCAGTCAGCAATCGTGGAACTTAAGCAACTTTCGCAGTGGCCAGTTATTGGATGCGTGACCAAATCCTCCTCCGTGCTTCGGTAGGCACGTTAAGCCGTTGATCCCTTCTGCATCCTCAGTCGTTAGCATCCACCAATCCACACTGGGCCCGCTAGGTGGATCATGGTTACATCTTCCTTTTCCATCCATAGAGAAGGCTTGTGCCCCGAAAGTGGGAACATTTCATAGCTGATGATGATGACGGATTTAAAACTACGTAACATAATATTATTATGACTGAGTCGAAAACCCGCCACTGGCAAAAGTATTCCAGAACAAAAGGTGAGGCGTATTGTGAGGTACAAATATGTGACACAACTAACACGGCGAGCAGGGGTATGATATCAGCGCTAGCGGCGAGGTACTGTGTCAGAATGAGCCCCCCTAGTGACACCCCCCTTCTCTCTGCTTCCTATCGTAGTTCACTGGCTAGTCACTAACCTCGCACGACGTCGAGGGGCAAGAAGACTAACGCTGGGCTGGGATTGTGGTATTGTGTCAGTACGAATCCATCCAGCGACTCACCTGCTTGGACGTCTGTCTGCCACTCTATAGTGGATCACTGCGCTGGTCACGAACCTCGCACGATGTCGAATAGCGAGGAGATGACTAACGCGACGAACAAGAGGGCGTGCAATTAGTGCTAGCGGCGAGGTATTGTGTCGGAACGACTAACAGCCAATTGATCTGCGTCTCTATACGATCTCTGCGCTACTCACTAACCTCGCACGACGTCGAGCGGCGAGGAGAGATAACTAACGCGGCTATTAGGGGCGTGCTAACAGTGCTAGCGGCGAGGTATTGTGTCAGAACCCGCCCGCCTAGTAACACCCCCATTTTATCTGCTTCCTATAGTGGATCACTGCGTTGGTCACTAGCCTCGCATGACGTCGAGCGGCGAGGAGACGACTAACGCGGCTAGTAATGGCGTGCTATCAGCGCTAGCGGCGAGATATTGCGTCAGAACGAGCCCGACTAGTGACACTTCCATTCCATCTGCTTCCTTTAGTAGATCACTGCACTGGTCACTAACCTTGCACGACGTCGAGTGGCGAGGAGACGACTAACGCGGCTAGCAGGTGCGTGCTATCAACGCTACCAGCGAGGTATTGTGCCAGTAAGAGTCCATGCAGGTGAGCCTGGATGGACGTCTGTCTGCAACTCTATAGTGGATTTCTGCACTACTCACTAACCTCGCACGACGTCAAGCGGCGAGGAGACGACTAACGCGGCGAGCAGGGGCGTGCTATCAGCGCTAGCGGCGAGGTATTGTGTCAGTACGAGCCCTCCTAGTGACACTCCCGTCGCTACCAGAGGCCCGTCTGTTTTCTTCTCAATAGCACGCACAGCCTCCGCTAAGTCGGAGTGGCTCACTGCGCTGTACAGCCGCGGCGTCTGTTTAAATATAAATAAGTATTGGACCACTGCACAGACATTGCACTGGTCTAAAATAGGTGCTACAATACTTGTGTCATGAAAGTTTATGATACGTTCGTTAGTTTTATAATGAATGTAACAATATATTTTTCTGCATTGATGCAACCAGGAGTCAAACCCTAGAACCAGTACTTGATCCATTCGAAGTTAGAGAATATATTTATTTTTATGCTATTGTCACAACGGGTTTGACTGTACACTAAATTAGTGAATAAAATTGGCTATTTAATACCTAGGCGAACACAGATGAGAACCTTGCGAAAACATCAACTATTTGCAACATCTTAATATCGTACCAATGCAGGCAAGCGATCTCCTCTGCGCGTGTCATGAACTTATACAATATCACTTTATATGATATAAACATCTTTGCTGTAAATAAATATCAATATAAAAGGCTTATAAGCGAAAAATTGTATTGTTAAGACAAGTATTTTTTTTATGTAAGTACTTTTCTCACTTAGTAACAAATATTGAAAGTAGGTGTTGGTTTTGCAAATATAAAAACTTGCTGTTTTTATATTTTCTATAAGATTTATTGTAAAACTGTTTGTTGACCTAAATAAACTGAAAAAAACTGTGAAAAAAAAAGAGAGGTGGGGCGTTGTGGATTTTCCGCATATTACGTAATATGATTACTAATTTAGTGACTACAGTAATTTTAATAATTTACCAGTCTTTGCAACCTTGAACTGCTTTGTTCATGCAACCTATGTTACAAAGTCTATGTGACAATGATTTTGTATTTTAAAAAATAAGTCATTTTCTTTAAATCATCATGCAGTACATATCTTTGCCGTCTTAGAATAGATCTTGTAGTACACGGCGTGAGCTCTATAGTAGTCTACCTTCCATTGGCCACCTGTCTTGGTATTACGGCGGGCAATTTTCCGCAACTCGACACCAAGAGCCTATTTTGCGTAGGGTTTGCCATCAGTCCTCTGGCTACCTAAATTCAAAACTTCTGCACCAGCTATCTTTGCACCTGAACTTTTCAACCACTTACATCAGGTGGGGTAGAGTCATTTACCTACTTAGTTATGTAAAAAAAAACTCAATATTTCTAATATTTACTCCACACCACAATAAGCATACCTACCGTAAGTGGAAGTCCTCCAAGGCCTCTATAGTTGACGACTACACATCGCAGTCGCAGTTGAACGGCCGCAGCAACCAAACATCGCACGTAGTCTGCACGTGCGTCGCCCGTGACGCCCGGTAACACTAGCATCACCCCCGCCCCGCCTTTACCTCCTTCCTTCACCCCCGCCCCATCTTCTGCAGCTATCGCCCAGTCGAGAGCTACTTGCCCTCCATCAGACAACGTTAGCACTTCTCTAAATAATAATAAAAACAAAATATTGAAAAGACACTGCCTAATCAAGTTTGGTACCATTAATGTAATTATTTTGCCCGCTCTGCCTGTACCCCTTTTTTCACCCCCGCAACATCTTCTACAACTAACGCCCAGTCGAGAGCTACTTGACTTCTCTAGATAGTTAAAAAATAAAATATTGCAGAAGGCACTCCCTAACCAAGTTTGGTTTTTAATTTTAACAAGGGTAAATAATGGCCAAATAAATCATTATAAAAAATGGCCAATACAAAATAATACATGCAAAAAAAGTGTATATATTATAGTCATTTAAGACTAAATAATAATTTATTTGCTAGAAACTTGGGCAATATACATAGGTCTTAATTAATTTATTTGAATGTATGTACTTCTGTAAATGTGACAATTTACGATGGTACATTTTATTATGTATTAGTATGATGGGTAAACAAAAATTTAGAGCTCAACTCAGTGTTATGGTAAGCACTTCAGCACTGAATTCATATGGAAGACAAGTTGCATTTCTTTTATTACATTCAGGGCCAGATTTAGAGGTGTGGAACGTTGGGCCATTAACGATTTGCACCCCACACCCCAGGTTGGTGATTTTTATTTATTTATTTAGGTCAGTCAACGGTTGCCACATAGAAACATACAATAAATCTTATCTACTAAATTTAATGCTAAATATGCTAACCAACTAAAGGCCAACACTGCATGCACATACATATGTTAAGTAGTTTTTTTTTTATATATATTATAATAATAACAAAGATTACTTTTATAATAACTAATAACAGAGACATGGATAAAGTTACTGCTCATATATTCATTTTTATTTTAGAATTTGTGTTACATTAAGCTTTAAGTCTTATGTTTCTACCAACTATCACTTAATGCTCAACATTTACATGCATGACATGTCTTATAAGCCTCCAGAAATGCTTTTTTGAAATTTAGATCCCTGATATGTGATGTGGTCACCTCCCCCAGCCCATAGCCTCACCTGCTCTGAATGATGTATGATGATATTAAATATTATAAAGTTTTATTTTCTCACCTACGATATTGTACGGGCGACAGAAGTCGCGTGCGCAACAACGAGCCTATAACAGTCTGCAGCCTTGATTCGACGCACCATGGCGTCGGCCAATATCGTTCATTCAGCAAGGGAACTTTTTCTTCCAAGAAATCTAAGAATTCTCCTTTACGACAGATTATGACAGGTTTCTAAAACAAAGAAATATATAAGTTATAATTAATAATATATTTGTGTATAGTTATAATCTATCTATCTAAAGTCCTGGTAATAATAGCAGAGATTTGACTGTCCTGATATGCGGCATTGTTGTGCACAGCATATATTATCTAATAAAGGTGTGTAATTCTATTTCATATAATTGTATGCTATTTAATATTCAATAAATGCAGTCTGATATAAATAAGAAATTTTGTGTATGACATTTTAATATTCTTTTTGTGTATGACATATGTTTTCCGTTATCCTAAACTGTTATTTTTTTTTATTTGATGTAAATTAATGAATTTTAAATAATGTAATTTATTAACTTATTTTTCCCTACCTACCTAACCTAAATTATTATATTAAATTAAATAACTTCTGTTTTAAATGAATTTAAAATTAAATAAATGATTACTTGTATCTTTAGTGACATGTACCTATTTCTTTAGTAATGGTTATGAGTTATGTTGCTCGAAATAAATGAATTTTATTTTACTTTATTTATTTTTATTAATTTTTTGCAGCTTTAAAAATGAAGAAATTACTAATAATACACCATTGGTCAATGTATGCTTGCTTGAATAAATGGATACTCTAAACAGTGCCTCAGAAGTGTTATTTATTGCATAATAAATATCCCACTAGTAGAGCATTAGACTTCCATTTAGGAAAACAATCACATAAGGAAAATGCGTTAAGCACATGAGGTCACCCATGATTTATAAAACCTGGAAGTCATTTAATCAGGTGGTTTTTATACTGCACTGCACATTAGAACAATATCCTATCTTGATTAGCAGTAATTGTAAGTGTAATATAGAACTAATATTATTTGTAGTAATTATTTTATAAATATTTTGTATTTGGTGTTTTATACACAAAGTTTTTTTTTAAATTTTAATAAAAACAACCCTTTAAAAACACTGGTCCCCAATCATTATGCATTTCAACAACACACACAGTCAGGTCAGTGCATTCGCCCGGATTGGGAAGGGTGCAGGTTCGAGCCCCGTCCACTGCCTGGTATGCGTGGAATTTTTCTAGTAAAACTTTTCTTTAGATTTAAACATCTAGCAGTTAAATGCTTAAAAAAAATAAAAACATAAACACACACATGGTCTATGGTATGATATTAAAATTACAGAATTATTCTTCCACAGTAAGAATATAAAAAAAGTTCACATTATTTAGCTTTTAACTAAGACCCCAACCACAGACCTTGCTCAGAGGAAGTGCGTTCTTTTTCACAAACTGTAATCTGTCTAGTTTAACCTGCCACATCAGATTTGATTCAGAAATTCAGTCCTTAACCACCATTTAATAAAAAACTACCAAAAAAAAACAAGAAAAATATTCTGAATCACTTAGCTCATTTTAATTTGATATGGATGACTGTAAGCACATGGCATTCCATTTAACAAATACCTTAATTATCATATTTCTTGTTTTCTTTTACCTTAATTACATCAGCATTCAAGGGGCTTTACAAATAAGTAGGAGGTTTGTATAAGAAATATATTTCAATAGCTTTTATTGAATTATTACTAAAAATTACTAATAACAACATGAATGCCGGAACATCCTATCTAAGCATGTACATGTCTGTATTGCAAAGGACAAATATAATAGAGGACATCCTAATATAATTAATGTACCTTTCAATGATTTAGTAATTCTTTATTACTTCTATAGCCAGTATAGTATCACAAACAAAAGTTATGTATAATTAGACTGACTTCATCTTGTGTTCTGTATTGTGTCACTTCCTAATTGAACAACTCCAATATCTGCTATTTGATATCATGAACTTTTCAAGAAAAATATGTAAGTAAATGATCATAAATAAGTTATTTAATAAATGAATTTTGTTGGGCTCAGTATCAATGCCCTTCTTGTTTATAAGTTTACTGGCACTATTATTGGTATAATTATAATATTGAATAGATGAACTAAGAATACTAAGAATGCCTCGATATAATGGGTTTCGAATAATTTTATGACACCTTAGCACAGTCGACGACATGCATAAGCTTTAAGATTCCCGTTCCCGCTCTCTTGACTCATTTCAATACTAAAATGTATTTTACCTTGACTGCTTCCACCAGATAGTAGGTTATATAAATTATAGAGATTGATATTCCCACAAGCAGCTCTTTCTTGAGTTCACAAATATATGAAAAGAAGCCTATCATATTTCTTCTAAAGTTCTGACTAAATTAAAAAAATACACACAACATAGAAAGAAATTAACGAGAGTAAATAATTAAAAGTTTGTTGAAGTTGAAGTTGAACTAGGTACTACCTTGAAATTAAATGAAATGTCAACTTTTGACATTGACAGTTGACTGACTAAGTTCCGTTCTAAACCAACACTCTGGGATGCGTTCTAAAGCGGCCTACTGACATGCCTGCCGCAGGGACAATCTAGGGTGTAAGGGTGGGGATGACCCTTAATTGCCTCCTGAATTGTGATGTGTGTAGGCAAGTTGGGGCAATTTTCTAAATCCGGCCTGCGGCAGAGTGGCAGAAGCGCGAGACCACCCTTGGTCCCTAGATTGTCCCAGCCGCCCTGCACGATGCCACGTGTGTAGCGCGATTGGGGCAATTTCTCAATCAGTTGTAGGGGTGTCCACTCTGAAAAAACATCGATGTATTATTTGATTCGATACATCGCAAGTATACATCTATGTCATTCGATGTATCGGATGAAAACATCGATGTATTTTAAACATCGAGTACTTTTTCTGAAATTTTATTACAAAACTCAACTTATGTGTAAAGTGACCCATTACAAAAGAGGCCATCTTTTCATAGTAAAATAAAATACTATTGAAGTTTATGAAAAGACCTTAATCCATAATTTTATTATAGTTTATATATTAATCTTTCATAAAATAAAAGAATTAACTCCTTTCATAATGAGTAGGTAAAAGTAAATACAAGTAAAAGCCATGTGTCAGAAAAATCTGTATTATATTTTGTTACAAAAGATCAAATTAAAAAAACACTAAATAACCCGCAAAATTTTTGCTAAGTCTGTCAAAAGAATATTAGAAATATACTTCAATCTTAGTTTCGTTCACAAAACTAAAGAAAGAAAGAAAGAAAAAGTATTTAAAATCTTAAGGTTATTAAATGTTCATAAACATAGAAACTCGTAGTTATTTTTTATTGTCACTGCACTGGCTCTTGCGCATTGCTGCCAACATCGGGTCCATATCAGAGAATCCGGAATAATGATGCTTTCATAATAGTAATAAGTAAAATTATAGTGGTCAAACTTAAGTTTTTTTACTGAGATCAAATCTAAGAGGATATTATCACTACGTGGTCAAACTCTATTACCAAATCGATGTTTCTTTAAAACATCGATGCATCGAGTATATTGAAAGCTTTTCAAAACATCGGATCGATTCGATGTTTTTCATTGCAAACATCGATGTTTTCGATGCATCGATGTATATCGAATATCCCTAATCAGTTGGTTGGTAACTCTCACGCGGAGAGCACGTATTTCGATCAAGATGGCGCCAGATCATAATGATCATGGAGTTTGGTCTCGAGTAATAGAAATATATAAAGACCGGCCCCACATGTGGGAAAAAAAAAACAAACATTATTTACATTTTTTTTAAACTTTTATTTTTTAAGGACAACTGCTCGATGTTTAAAACTAAAGAAAATATTACTAGAAAAATAGAAATAGCTATTTTTTATTTTTTTCTTGTAATATTTTCTTTACATTCAAGCATCGCGCAGTTACATGCTCAAAAATTAAAATTATAACTTAAATTGCTATTGCCATAGGTTAATTTCTTTCGGCACTTTAATCCACAACTTTCCTGGAGTCTTCAAGGATGTGTTTTTACATTCTCGTACAATACAATAATGACAATTACTATATTTTTCGTGGTATCTATTAGAAATCATGTTTTCTTTTTATTATAAACTCAGATAGGTTATTTTCTACTGCTTACGAGTTTTTGTTTACTACCGTCAATGTCATAGCATAGATAATGGTGTCGATTCTGGCGTGATTCTCTAAACTTAAAACTAAATTTAACATCAGTCTCTCCTTTTCATTCTGTATAGAGAATGATAAGGATGCACTGTTGTCAAATTTAAGTTTAGCTTTAGAGAATCATGCCAGAATCGACATCAGTCTATAGACAAAAATGGCCGACAGCGTTTTTGTATGTCCATGAAAAGTCTATTTTAAAATTAAAGATTTGTAGCTTTCTAGGTCTCAAAAAAAATAATACATTTTTTTTCGGTCTAATAGAACATCTATTAACAATTTAAAACCTTTTTCCAAAAAGGGTCAACTGGCCTATTAATGGTGTCGATTCTAGCATGATTCTCTAAACCTAAACTTAAATTTGACAGCAGTATATCCTTGTCATTCTCTATACAGAACGAAAAGGAGAAACTAATGTTAAATTTAGTTTTTTAGTTTAGCGAATCACGCCAGAATCGGCACCATTATCTACATTATAATTTTATGTAATATTTAGTGCATAACTGTTCTGTTCCCAATTATTAAAATAAAATAAAATGTTATTTAGAAACTGTTTTCCTGAGGAACATAATTATTTTTTTAGTATTTCTCAACGATATTAAATACCCTAGACACCAGCTCGAACAAAATCGTGCCCGAAACCTGTCCAAAGGATCCACGGAGCTTCGTAAGATGATCGCGTAGTCAAAATCAATATATGGCATTATTTGAATATTGAAAGTAACCTTTAATACATACTGTATAAGGTCTTAAAAAAAACTCATGCGTCATGGTCTTCTGACAGTTCGAAATGCAAGCTCGTAAAATGTTAGAACTTATTGCTATATGCAGAAGCATTTAGGCCTTAGGTCTTTGACTCTACGCGCAATTCTGAACGCGCTGTTAGCAACATAGCAGGCACTGACCGCGAGGAAAAGAGATGGCTATATGGCGACGTATTACCGACCATGCATTTAAATATCACAAATATTTTATATTAAATCAGTTTATAGTTGGTATTAGATCAAAATTTACTTCAAATGAGTTAAATTAACAAAACATTGACTAGATACCTGTCGAAAAAACGACACTTTTCGTACTTTAAGTATTATTTTCGCATTTTTTCGCGGAGGTCAGTGGCATATTGTCTATGTAACGGAGCACACGTGACTGTGAACCAAGAAGTGCTTGAGTGGAGTTCAAGCACTTCTTGATTGGGACACATTTTGAACGCTCGTGGTGTATCTAGGGTATTTAGTATCGTTGGTATTTCTGCCATAATAAGGCTTTTGTCTTTACAACGAGAAATGTACGCATGCGCACACGCACCGACGATGTGCCCCGCGCTCCGCGGCCCGCGCCCGCGCTCGTATCAGCTGCAGTGACGTAGGTCAACAACCGAACGTGCCGTTGACCGGGGTTTAAACCATCCACTTATTAAAATGAAATGCGTAAATTAGTAATTTACACCTTATTAGGATTGCTTAAAAAAACATTTAATTAAAATGAAAGTAGCACTAGCCATAAAAACTTTTAAACTGTAGTAGGTTCACAAATTTTTATTGTTTATAAAAACTAAACCATGCTTCTGGCTTTTATTTTCCAAAACGCATAACCATTGCCATAATCATCATAAAAAAACTTATTGTTCATAATAACAGGAAGGTATATATATAAAAATATGAAGCGTAATGAATTACCCCACCCCACTTGATGTTCAGTGTAAGTAGAGTCCAATCGCGAAGAAAGATGATTCGGCAGAAAGTGTTCGCTCTAGCCATCCTCACCTTGCCGGCCTGAACGCAATCCTCTACCCCGTAAAACTCTGGAACCTTACTCACCAACAGAAACACAACACCACCAAAAGGTGGAGATTGCTTCCCTAGACGGGCGCTCCATTTCAAGCGTAAAATCCGCTATGCCCTACCTCGCTTAAAATAATCTTACCTACGCAGGTATGAGCTTATGTTTCATTAAAAAGTTAAAGTACCATCTAAGCAGGTGACAAAATGGTATTTTAAAACAGGCTCGTCATTCCTTGCATTCCGTCCGCTGTACCGCAAAAAACTTTAACGTCTTTTCGATAGTAATTAAAAAATGAAACTAAGATACTTACCAAATCTAAAACGCCTTACAATTAAACACTAGCAATGTTGATTGTTTAGTGTTAATTAATTGATTCCAGTAAATAAACAAAGTTCCATATCTTTTAGCAATCAATTACTGTCATTATTCATACTTTACTTTGATTTTAAATAAAAGTAACTTTATTTTCCCACAAACGTGTTAAGTATTGTTGTTTTTAACGATTAGAAACATATTCACGTGTCGTGTTGTGTCGACTCTCTTATCTCTCTCTCTAACCCTTAATGAATGTATGAAACCAAAGCGCCATGACACGTTAATATGTTTCTGGCTTTAGTAGTCTCACTGAGGAAATAATCTTTACGTAGTCTGTGTCGAGTCGAGTTCACGTCCCGTTCTTCACGTATCTAAGTAGTCTGTGCACGTCACCACTGAGCAAATCATGTCACGTTCGTTCACCGTTCGCGATGTTTGGTTCGTGTTCGTGTTCACAGTTTACGGTTCGTTCACTGTAACGTGGAACGGTGGAACAGGCTCGCAAAATAACTGAAGATTTAACAAGATTTAGTGTAGAATAATAGCATTAAAATGGCACCAGCAGCTACAGCAGTGAAACCGATTCCTGATAATGACCCTATTGGAATCAGGGCAGTACTTTTGGGACCTCCTGGGTCTGGCAAAGGCACTCAGGTACACTTATCTTTGACCTTTACCCTCATTTTCAACTAATTATGAATAAAGTATAAGTTGGTGGGCCTTTCAATAACATTTTGAACTAATTTTTGGCTTCACTCTATTTTTAATTAGTAAGAATTACTTTCTAATGTATTGTTTTAGGCGCCACTTCTCAAAGAGAAATACTGTGTATGTCATTTATCTACTGGCGACATGCTTCGTGCAGAGGTAGCCTCAGGGTCAGAACTGGGCCGTCGTGTCAAAAAGGTTATGGATGATGGGAAATTGGTTTCTGATGAAATGGTGGTAGACATGATCGACAAGAACCTTGACCAGCCTGAATGCAAGAATGGGTTCTTACTAGATGGTTTCCCAAGGACTGTTCCACAAGCAGCAAAGGTACTTATTACTATTTATTTACATTTTTTAGAGTGAATTTTATTCCTACTTTGACTTAATTTTGAATTGGACTTTATGTATTAAAATCAAAACAGTATTATGCAACTGATAATAAGTTTAATATCAGAGTTGTTGTTGCCACTTTTATCAGTGACTCTAACCTGGGACCTTCTTTGTGTTTAATTTTTCACACAATGCTAAAAAAGGAGTGTAATGTTTTCAAAACTCATTTAAGTATTTTTGATTGTGTGTTTCTAAATTGTACTATAACTCCTAAATATCTGAACAGATTTGGATGAATGGTATCAGAAGAATCCTTACAATTATCATAAGTTTCATATTTGGGTGTACCTGCCAACACAACATTCATCTTTGACAAAAGAACCTTAACAAATAAATTAAAAATATTACTACCCCGCCAATAACAGACTAAACTGTAAAAACTAAAAACCAAGTTTAAAAAAGTCATTGCTGTCAGGGTACTTCTTGAAGACAGGAAGACACTATCTCAATTCTTAAATTGAGATAGTGTCTTCCAGAATTTTCCTTATTTTTTCATTTGTTTTGAGGTGGTTTTTGGCAGGGAGATCTGATTTTTTTGCTTCATCATTTCATATAGGGGAAACAACAATATGTTATGTCACATAAACACTAAAAATACAGATATTTAAGCAGTATTTTGTTCTTTTGCAGTTGGATGACTTGCTGGCAAAGAGGAAGACTGAATTAGATGCAGTTATTGAGTTTGGTATCCAGGATAGCTTGCTGGTACGCAGAATCACAGGGAGGTTGATCCACCCTTCAAGTGGAAGGAGCTATCATGAAGAATTCCACCCACCAAAGAAACCAATGACTGATGATATTACTGGTGAACCATTGATTAAGAGATCAGATGACAATGTTGAGGCTCTCAAGAAACGTTTAGCTACATATCATGCACAAACTCTTCCTCTTGTTGATTATTATATGAGAAGAGGTCTCCACTACAGAGTGGATGCTTCGAAATCTGCTGAAACAGTGTTCAGTAAAATAGATAACATATTTAAAAATAGAATTTTCAACAGAGCTGTTCAGTAAATTGCGACTCTGCCATTATAATTTAAGTGAAAGTGTTTTGTACATAAGATATGTGATTTCATCAATATCGGTTGTTTTCGGTTCACTCTTGTGGGAATATAATTAATGTTTTAGAGACTATTTTTCTTGGACAAATATATCAACTGGAATCATCAGACAAGATGTTTTATTATACAACAATTAACTGTTAACAAAAAATATCAGATGTGCTAAAGGAAACAATATTAAGACTAATAAAGAGTCTATATACCAAGAAATTCATATTTGAAATGCTTCTACAGTTAATGTTAATGGTAGTAAAAGGTTTTTTATCTGAAGGACTGATACAGGTCTTGCAACATATAAGTGTTGCTGTGTTTGATAAGGGGTGTAAATAAGTGATTATATTTTATCAATTATGGTTGATTATTTCTCTAATAATAAGCATGTTTGAAGAATGAAATATTTATTTCTAAATAGTGGGTAATATAATTGATTGTTCAAATACAATACAACATAATAATAAATTACAAAATGGAAATTTGTATCATAGTTTGGTTCATAAGCTCTGAATAAAGGCATGTGACCACATTATATTTCACACATAATAACATTCAGACAGGAAAGTGCAATAGAACTACCTATATAGATTTACTTGATTATGATATATTTCAGTTGCACTATATCATGTTTGGGGGGGACTTTATTGTAGTTCAGTTAAATAAGTTATTGTGGAGCCTGGTAACAGAAAAAATGGTATTAAATGCTTGATGCATTTGATAAGCCATTTTTTTATCATTAATAATATTTAATATTTCCATGACTGGAGTACAAATGCTTGTATTCATCACACAAACATCTGCCCCCATCTGGATTCGAACCCGGGACCTCTCTCGTTGGCAACACCATGAAACCTGGCGAACAAACCTTTTGAAACTTTTGTACATACGTAGGTACTACCTGCAGACGAGGATCCAGCTTTAAAAAAAGGTTGTGGTCACATGTTTAGATATTAAGATTTTTAAAAGACAATTTAAAAAGTCATTACTATTAAACTCACACTCAGCGACGTAAATTATTTTTTTAATTGAATTTCAATCGATTCTGTCTCTGCGATAGCAATACAATATTAAGACTACGTTTGACATGAGTAATCTATGTCTGAGTGTGGCAGTAATTATTTCACAGCCATGTTTTTATTTTTAATTTTGTTTTTATACTTTTATCAAACTTCTTACAGAAAGCTACCTATATACCAACGTGCGTTAATTTATTGAAAGGTAAAGGTGACTACTAGAGTGTTTCATTTTTCCAAAACTTTGATTTTCACGTGACATTGATTTTCCCTAGTTCACTAGTACAAATGACAAAGGCCAAATTTCATGAAGATTACAGAATATTTACAGGTTGCACATGTTGGCCACTATTTATCTCGTAGTATACTGAAATGTTTTGTAATAATGTATGTTTAGAGTGTTAAAACGCTGGTGTAATTATTATGCGAATGAAACAACCGTTTCAATATAAAAACCGGACAATTGCGTCTAGTGCCACGCGCAGTGTAGGTTTTCGTATTTGCTCGTCGTCACCACAATATATTTTGGAAAGTCTATATTTTAAGCAATTACTTCGTCTAAGTCACTTTTAATGTTTTCTTAGGAATTCTTTTATTTGTAAACAAGGCACATAATTAACATGTAGGAAATGGAGTCCAGTTATGAAGATATCCAGAAGCAGCGAAAACAATGTCTCGATCGGGCATCCTCACCTTGCCGGTCTTTTGCTTTTGAATATTTGCTTCCTTAGCGGGCGCTTCTCTACATTACTACATAAAAAATAGTCGCACATAGTGCGCGTTGAGTCCATGGCAAGATTTCGGTGGTTATTTTTTTCATGATTCACGGATTATTTCCTCTACGGACAAAAGTCCTTCTTCTGCGCAAGCCTTAACATCTACAAAAGCCTACTATGTAGATGATGTTATGGAAAAATAAAACACAAGAGATGGACAACTTCTGTGTAATTATGATCAGATCAATTCGGAACATATTATACAAAAAAAAACTGATTAAAAAAAACTATGACGATACTGTGGCACCAGAAGCAAAATTCTAGTAGTACCGACGACAGTATCTACAGATGTTAATAAAAAGTTCATGATAACGTTATGAGGGTGTTTAGAAAAAATTATGTCACCAGTTGGCGCCATTGTGACATGAGATCTTTTGTATGAAGTTTTTGGCGCGAATTAATCGAACGAGCGTTTAAATCGATCCATAGACTACGGCGACATTCGTGATTTGACGGATAAGTAGACCTTTCGGCCCAGTGCTGCCACCTGGTGCCCGTCATTCCTCATTATCTAATTACTCACAGTCGCCAACAGATGCAGTTACCTAAAATTGACAAGTTTCTACAATCAATATTAAGCTTTGTTTAGCTTAGCTTGATATAAGGTTCACCATCGATAGAAAACATTGACTTTTATGGTAACTTGATGTGTCGACAGACTGTACCTTTCATGCTGATTTGGTCATATTATGAATTTGTGTGATACCTAACCTAATTGAAAGTAATTGAGAAGAGTTGGTCATTCTTTTACCTACATGATGAAATCAGCACAATAGGAAAATGGTCTTTAAGATTGGTGATGGATGGGGATCTCTAACATAACGACATGGGATAAGCTTACTGTAGCACCCGGCCTTTTTATGATATCTCTGATAGCTAGACAATTCTGAGGCTTTCCCTACTATAAAAACTTGCGGCCCTGCCGTCCTGTTAATATGTTCCTTTTGAATTTTTACTCGCCTATAAAATTGTTAGTTTAGCTAGTTTTATGTAGTATAAACGACTCCATATAGGTGGATATATCTGCATTATATATCACTTAATATATAACTTCCATTAATTGGAAGCTTTTTTAAGAATAAAGGTACAACTCTTGTTTACAAAATGGAGTCGTTTGATTTAATATTTTTTCTGCAAATATATATAATAAATGGTTTATTATAAATTTCATGAACGAATATTATCTAAACATGCTGACTAGGAAACAACGTGTAAAGTTTGTAAATGTTAACTTAAATACATAATATAATGTAATTTCTATAAAATATGCAAACAATAATGCACCAGAAGCTATCGTATTACTTCACTTTTCTCGTCCCAATAAATTTTATTCACAGCACTCTCATGCAATTATTATGATTTTTAATTGATACAAAAAAATATATTATGAAATATGATATGAAAAACGATTGATCACTGAAAGAAATGCGTATTCAAAATACTTAATGATACGTTTAAGGTCATCATCGCATCTCACAGAGAATACGATAGTCACAGTTACTGTCATGGAAAATTGAGACGTACATAGGTATGTAAACACCGAAAGCCTTTTTTAGCATCGAAATAAATTACTTATTAACAATTAAATAATTATTTACAGAAATATAAACATGATAACGATCATGTCCACTCAACAACGTTCTATCGGATAGCTTTGGATGCTCGCAACGATACGATATAATAACACAAGGCCTATGCTACACTAATTTACAATATAAAGCTTTTTAGAACAACATTTACAATACTTCTTTTTTTAACAAACATTATTGTTCGACATAAATAACAACGAGTGGGGGCGCCACTATCTTACGAAATGCTTTACCCTTGTTCTACGTGTCATCAAACGTGCTCCAATTTCAAATTCTACCAATGATTCCTAAATTCAACACGAACAGTGCGAGTGCGATTACGTTATTTTGAAATCGTTTGTCATTCTAAGAGCACCATCTGGTGGCAAACGCAATGAGCTGCGACAGTTATATAATAACATTGACGATAACAACTCGCACTGAGCATACATCTCTAATTTCTCTAGTTTTTATTTTTACAATACAACACTTGATTTACATAATTTTGTTGCCAGATCTTCAATAACATTAACATATACCGAACACTTTAGTATAAAAAAGGGCAACACTAAAGAATGAAACTCGAACCTTTTCATCTAGTTCAAAACGACATCACTTAAAGCATAGAACGGAGCTCGTATGTGAGTCAAACAATCCTCATAAGTGTCATAGCTTTGTTCCGACCGTGGCTGGTTCGCGGGAGGGTCACGAAGGAAGTCAACCAAGTGACTGGGAATCTTCATATCCCCATAATTGCCCAGTTCGGGGTTTGTTAAACACCCGAGACAGGTGTCGTTCAATGGTCGTGTTGGTGGTGGAGGTCGTTCAATGGTCGTGCAGTCGGTCGTGCGAGCGACTCGAAGAACGCGACGTCTTGCGCTGGTCGAGATATGCCGCCGGCGCCCAGCCTTCGCCTTGCCCGCCTGTGTGTTATAACATATTATGTAAGAGAAATTGGCTCAGATTTTTGAAGTTATACTTCTTTAGGCGCGTTATAAAAAAATTATGAGAGTGAAATTTTAAGATGCGCGCGCATCTGTAACACAAAAAATTAACACAATGAAGTTGGTCGCTTCAGCGACCAACTTCATGTGCCGCGCTGCCATTACCGCGTCGCCCGCCGCACCGTACGCATGCGCGGCCACTCGCGGTCCTAGCGCGGGTACACGTACAACAAACATCGGGAAAAGTTACGAGTTTTGAATTTAGAACAGAGACTGTTTTCATATCTATATATATAAAAATGAAACCCGTTTTCCGTTGTCACGACATAACATGAAAACGGCTTGACCGATTTGGCTGTTTTTTTTTGTAGTTTTCTAATACTCTGTACAAGGTTCTCACGGAAAAAAATATAAAGAAAATCCTAAGGGGATAAAATAAGGAATGAAAGTTTGTATGAAACTTTATCAATTTTAAACCGATCGGGCTGAGACTTTGCATGCAGGTATAAGAAGAATCATAGATGAATGTCATTGTGTATAATACAAGCCTGAGAACAAAAACTGTAGTCTACACTTCAGCTCTACACCGAAGCGAAGCGAGGGCGGGCCGCTAGTTTATAATATTTATCCACATGTTTCTAGTCTGTATATTCGGAATACGGAGTTTGAGTTTCATACAAGTGCAAATCACATATGTTCTAATAAATTATATTCAGTAGCGATTTTAATTGAATATTTTGATTATTTATTTATTTTTTCAAATTAAAACTGAACTTTATGGACTGTGTCCTTTTCCAGACTTTTTATTAATTTATTGTAATTAATTATTTGCATGCAATTAAAAACTAATTTTAAACGATGCCAAAGAAGGATAACTTCTCACGCGCCTACATAAGTACACGCACCCATTTTTTTTTTCAAATTCATGTTAAACACCACGTTTGGGCGCCAATATAGAGCACATTGGCGCCCAAACATGGTCTTTATGAAAGTGAAATGTGGCTAAAGAAGATTGCAACTAAGATTTGATTTGATGCAAGAACTATTTACCTGTTTATAATTATTAAATTACTTAAAACATTGTATCGTTTTAGTTGCTACTAAATCCACAATTTCTTCTAACGCTGGCCGAAACGGCTAACGCTTAAAATCAGACGCTGGGCAAGCCTAAAAATTCACGCCACGAGCTTTGCTTAAAATCACGAATTCTACGCTCTTAAGTGTTGTTTGGATGACGTCCGCAGGTAAGAACATTTTAGTATTCTCCTCGGACAAGAAACTTTCTAAACAGTTTATTCCCCTTTGTGTGAGCACCACAATATACATTCTACGTTTTCTATCGCGTCTAACTGTCAAACTCCATAGTAATTATACGATTATACGATTTTATAGCGATAAAAGTAAATTACGTACCAGCAAGTCGAACGTACCACCACCCCGCGCAGCCGACCTTGAGTAGCTCGGCGTGCTGACCCTCCCGCAGGGACACCTCGCTGGCGCCCACCGCGGTGTAATCCGACAACGCGACCAGCGCACACCCCACTGCCTAAACCCCAATAGTAGGTACCCATTAATGACACCATAAAGCGAGATTACTTTACTTAATCTATTGAAACATCAACGCTGTTCACATCTTAGAAAAATACTCGGAAACAACATTCTTGCTAGGGAGACTTCAGAGGAAGCATCTGATTAACCGCCAGTTTCAGTAACCAACGTCTATCACTTGATTAAGTATGACAACTGGACCGTCCGAACAAAGTTTAATTAAACTTTTTCGAAGGTAGCTAATCAACCTCCAGTAAAAGGTAAACTTGTTTCGGTTTAGTTTTTTAGCAAAAATTGTTGTTTAAATACAAATAATAAAACTATAAAGGCAACAATTAAAGCTCTAATAGGCCAATACCTCTTATTGGAATTTGATTAATGAAACGGACCGTAAAATAGCCGAAGTTTTCAGGTATTTTTTGTAAGAGATAAACAATAATGTAATGTAAATGTATATTCTTGTAATCGACGTTTTAGAGAATCAGATAAGAAAAAGAGTCGAATCTCAATCAAGCGATAGATAAATCTAAGACCTTGCTATTAAAAAAAATATTTGTAAAATGAATGTCGATTGCAGGTTTTTGATTTTTAATTTTAAAAATATTATGATATATAATTTAATTTTCGAACACAGAGAAGCTAAAACCATATTTAATATGATATTATTGTCTTCATCAATTATGTTTTTAGCAGCGATGGAAACTTTAACAAACGATTACCTACATTGTATCATGCACTCTTCCACCACTGCTCAAACGGCTTTGATTGAAATCATTAAACATATTAATGCTGCATGCTCACACGCAAGTATTAGGCTGGTTATCGTACGAGTAACATTCAATTAGTTGTTAGAATAACGTATGTACACACTTAATTCTTATGTCATACATAACAGCTTCACACGCATCACAAAATTTCCAATCAATTTGTCAGTATTGCTACTACGCCATGCATTATTAGTGGAAAGCTTTTGCAAATACTTATAACATTTATGTGAAATTCTTATTACATAAAATAGTATGTCTTTTGATGTATTATAAGTAGGTACCTAATGTAGAATAATTCCTGTATATAAGATAACACATATAACAATATAGTAATGTCGATTGTAGGAATTGTATTTTTCCGGAATACTTATACAATAAGATGTCCTTTGTCTATAATTATAAAACGTCCATATTGAGTCCAATCAAGTGCGAAAATATTTAATAATAAGAACATAAATTAAGCTAAAATTGTGTGCTTCGAAGATTTTTTGTTACTCAACACCTTAAAAAAATAAAATAGTGGCAGATATATACTTAGATATTGTAAGTTTGTTTAAGTAGAGTGTGTATATGTAATATCGAAATATAAGTGTACTACTGATATTTCTTTTAAAGTGGAAGATTCTATTTTTTTCAGTGACTGCTAGTATATATTATATAATAGTAGATAGAAATAGAGGTTAGTAGTGTATTTATACTATTTATAGCGTGTTGAAAAGCCAATTCATAATTTTATACACATAAAACATGGCAACAGAGTGACGCAAGCTGATTCCGTGCGCAGATCTATACTTATGCGTAAATACCAAATCATCTCCAAACGTTAATTTTATTCTAAGTGACAGATGTTAAATACTGAAATATGAAAATAAGATATTTTATTTTGTGATATAATTAATTAAGATCTCTAAAACTCCACATTAAAACTTTTTTACAATCGATAATGATAATGTAGATAAATAATTTACGAACACAGATTACGTAGATAACCAATCTTTAGATAATGAAGGTTTAGCGAACAAATGATATAACGAGTATTTATAGTAAATATTGCTGCAATAGGTATATTTAATAAAATGTAAGTAATTATACAAAAATAAATACACTGACAACAATGATAACATTATATCGAAGCAAGCGCATAATTAAAATCAAAAAGCACACTTACAGTGAATGACATAACAAACAAAACACGACTTACACGGCTGTTAATGTTCGGCAATAACGATTGATATATCCACGTTTTAATGTCGAACTCTTTGGGTTACTTATACTTTGGATATAACATCAGTCTCTTTTCATTGTATTTACATTGCCTCTTTAGGCTTAGCTTCAAAGGTAAAGGTATCTATCAGTATTGTGATACGTAAAACGTGGACGTGGCTTGGGTGGAGCCTGATACCGAAAAGAACTGTACCATTCTGTGTATGGTACCGTTGAGACCGACGGCCTCCGTCACCTGTTGAACAATACAACTTAAAAAATGGCCGCCATTTTAGAACGCATACGACAAAATGGCGGCGGGCACATTAGCTATACTGAATGTGGCGCGCTCCTATTTCATTAGTTTGTGAACTAAGATTTGTGTGAAGTGCCACGTGACCGTGCAAAACTAAACCAAGTTTTGGTGCCAGCCAGTGTCTAGTTATTTTTATGGTAAACTAATTAAAAGCAATAATGGGTTGCTAAATTAATTATGCAGCAACGGACGGCATGAATTTTGGACTGGGGACGTTACTTTAAATGTGTTAGAGAATTTACTGTATCAATGTAGTCGATAGATACAGTGAATTCTCCATGTAATTCGTTTACCTATCATCATTATCATTACCCTTCGATAAAGGTAACAACATTAAGCGTTAAGTGCGATCGGGTTGCTATATTTTGACATGCGCTACCCGTAACTATTCAGCCCACATTCCTATAAAATACACTTTACACTTACACTATTAGAGTGGTTTTCACTTCACTCAACACTGTGAACCCAAAATTAGTCGGTATTAATGTAGGCCTGTGTTTAGTCAAGCTACCCCAGTAAAAGCACCTGATTTTATTGGTTAGTATTACCCATATTATCTATACTCTAATCTCTACTCAATCTTACAGCATTGAATAAGCTGTAAAAATTAAAATAACTAAATAAACTTTGTGTAACCCACACATGAATAACATTTACTTAATTATTCGATTTATCCCAGGGAAAGACAACATGTTAGAATTAAGGTTAAATTGACTACTTATAGTTAAGCCCCAGACAATTGATTACATTTATTAATATCATTATGTACAACTGACAAATATACCTTTCTTTTACGTATTACGTTAACATATTTTTGCAAGAATCTTCTTACAATATATGTACCATCAAGGTCTTCGTAGCGTAACCACCCTTAGTGCCAAAATCCTTTGCTCGATTTGTTTATAGGCGATTCTTCGACTATGGTGCATTAATTAGTCAAGTCGCAATAATTATCATATTTAAAATATACATAACCAAGTACATAAGATTGTGCCAGCTACAACTGCCTTGTTGTTCTTGCACAAAAATGAATTGAAAGCGGTAAAGCGCCGGAGATCTTGATGGTATGTACCTTACTTCATCTCAACTTTATACATTAAGTTACATCCTCAACCTAGCAAGCAGCTTTGAAAATGACTTTTCTTATTCCCTTGCAAGGTTTTTTCTTTTCCACAGTTTAAAGATGCATAGGGTTACCATTTCGAAATTGAAAAAGTTCGGATATTTGAATGAAGTCTATGGGTGCGGCCAGAGTGCACTCAGATTCAGAGTCAGATTCAGATTCTGAAAACAAGCGCGAGAAATAAACAGTGTAGTCTAAGCAGGTTGCCTGCTTTTTCTCGCGCTTTGTTTTCTGAGTCTGAATCTGAATCTGAATCTGGAGTGCAATCTGGCCGTACCCTTCGACTACACTGTTTATTTCTCGTGCTTGTTTTCGAAATCTGAATCTGAATCTGAGTGCACTCTGGCCGCATCCTCTGGATGTAGCCAATTTAAAGGTAGATTTACATTGATAGCGTAATTTGAGCGAGTATTACATGCTTAATAAGAGATAGATAGAAATCTATCTTATGTACATTTCTGGATAAGAGATAATTTATATAAATACTATGTAGTTCGTTTATACATGAAGTTAGAGTTCCAACAAGATTGGCGCCAGTTACTGTATCAATGTAAATCTGGCATTATATCAGGTAAGTAACAAGAAACGGATCACGTCTGGTTAAATCACCTGTGACTATCTACATACTGAACGTGGTCATAGCGTATCGTTTTTTACAAGCTAAGATTATTTTTTAAATAACCTTGAGGATGTTCCTTCTCGTTTTAATTACATTAAAAGATAATTATGTATTGACATCAACGGTATTTTTAATATCGTTGATTGTAATCTAAGAATAAGAACTCGAATTGAAGAAACTGAGAATAAGAACTAAGAAGAATTAGTCCTTTATGCAGTGACATCAACAAAGTAGGTGAGGAAATTTCCGTCTGGTGAAGGTTATGCAGTGTTTTGTCTTATTCAACGAATTACAAATGCTGTTTGAGTCATATGAACGAACAAAACACTGCGCAGCTATAGTACAACCTATTTATGTGGTTGCGACTATGTTTGACACGTATTTGTTAAAACGTTTTTCATGTTTGACGGAAATCTTGATTTATGATGTGTTTGAAGAGCAAGTTCCAAGGTGTAGGTGGTGTGTTTTACAAACATGGTAATTCAGAAGAAACTAGAAAGTATAGTGCGAGTCAAACTTTCTGGCGGTTGTGAAGTTAGCCTCAATGCGCAGGTTACAAAGAGGGTTTTCAGAATGACGGGCACCAGATGGCAGCACTGTGCCGTATGTCATCCGACAATTCGTATAGGTCGTCATTGGTTTAGATTCTGTCACGATTTTTTAAACTTGAAACTAAATTTAACATCAGTCTCTCCTTTTCATTCTGTATAGAGAATGACAAGAGTACACTGTTGTCATATTTAGGATTAGGTTAGGTTAGGAATCACGCCAAAATGGACACCATAGTTTATGAACTAATTTAAAGGCTCGATGAATTCGCGCCTAACACTTGATATTAAGATCTCATTCCACTAAGGCGCCAACTGGTGGCGTGAATTTTCATAAACTGCTTTACTGCCCCGTCACTTAGCAAATTTCACAGCCGCTTTTCAGTTTCAGTCGCGCTATTACTATGGATAAGTCTGACTTTGTTTAATTGTTTACGTGAAATTTGACCGATAACAAGTTTAATAAACAAAGATTGTTTATTGTGTTGTGCGTGTGTATGTGTTGATAATTTACTTGAAATTTGACCGACAAGAATGTCCTCTACGCTCTAGCCATCTTACTGGATCCAGCGTGCGAGACAGCACTACACACTTAAAAAGAGATCCTGTATATCCATCTCTTTTATGCATATAGCGTTGTCTCGCATGTTGGATCCAACAAGATGAATAGTGTGCACTTTAATTTGACAAACGAAGATCGTTTATTATGTTGTTCGTTTATTTGCAATTTAACTGAAAGTAAGTTTGACAAATGAATATCGTTTATCGTGTTGTTAGTGTGTGTGTTGATCGTTTACGTGAAATTTTACCGACAATAAGTTTGACAAGCGAAGATCGTATACTATGCGCGCGCGTGTGTGTGTGTGGTAAGTTATTTCTATACATACCGGCGCAGGGTCCGGCTCGTCATCGTCATCGTCGGAGGGGTCGGTAGACCAGCAGGGCTCGTCGTGCGCGTCGCACGAGGCGGTGCGCGACGGGAGCACGGGAACGTGCGCGTTGACATTCGCGTTGACGGTAACGTGCGCGTTAGTGTTGGCGGGGTGGAGGACGCGCGCCGGCTGCACTGTAGGCGGCACGTCCCATGAACTAGTCTGGATTAGTGTCCTGGACAATGTAAAAGGGAGAATGGTTGAAATGACTGCGCGTCGGGAGCACGGGAACGTGCGCGTTAACATTCGCGTTGACAGTAACGTGCGCGTTAGTGTTGGCGGGGTGGAGGACGCCTGCCGGCTGCACTGTAGGCGGCACGTCCCATGAACTAGTCTGGATTAGTGTCATGGACAATGTAAAAGAGAGAATGGTTGAAATGACTGCGCAACGGGAGCACGGGAACGTGCGCGTTAACGTTCGCGTTGACAGTAACGTGCGCGTTAGTGTTGGCGGGGTGGAGGACGCGTGCCGGCTGCACTGTAGGTGGCACGTACTATGAACTAGTCTGGATTAGTGTCCCCGATAATTTAAAAGGGAGAATGGTTGAAATGTCTGTTAGTCTTAGGTAAAGACGTAGAGTAAGTGTGGGAGAGACCAAGCTGGTTGCACCGACGCGGGTATATCCCATGAACGGCACTGACCTGTGATGTTGGGCGCCGTACTGCCGCACTCTCTCCCCCTTGAGCTCCTTCAGCTGGTCGAGCAGTACTCGCTTGATGCGGTCGACCCAGGCCCGCTTTACGTCAGCCGTAGGTGCGGTGATAGTGTGAACTTCGGCCCTGCCTTGTCGCCACACTTCGAATTTTCTCGTGTCACCTTTCACTGATTCCGTGAGACCCACTTGTGACATCTGACAAGACCAAATTGACAAATTTTAAAGCACTCAAGTCATAATTTATTCGTAGAGCTGGATATAATGCATTTCAAGCTTAATGAGTGAGCATGAGTGAAACTTCACGCTTATCTAAAGTACGTATACTGGGTCTTTAACTTCTCAGTTGCCAGCACGTTTGAATCAATCTGTACTCGATCGTTTTTACTCTGTGCATCGATTTTAAATTGTCATTCCAGTGATTTGAAAAAAAACACTGCGTAATAAGTGAAAGGCATAAAGGGGTGGTGGTGGAGGACATACAGATCTTGACATTAAAGACAGACAGATCAGAAATTGACGTTAAAGAAGTCTATAAAAAAGGGATATCTAAGTGAGCTTACCTGAAGATCATGTTTGAAGTGATAGGTGGCTTTGTTGTGACTGTTCTTGGTGGCTGGTTTGCAGAATAGTATGGCTTTCTCGTAAAGGAAAATGTGTCGCCGTCGCGGTCGGATCCTGAGCCGTAAGTCGCGTTTGTTCTCCGACACGACCAAGAACGAGCCCTGCATTAACAGCTCGCCTTGTTGGTTCAAATCCACCTGATGATAACCGAACAAATTTAAAATAATACAACTATATTTAAAACCAATTTGCAACAAATGCGTTAATTTTTTGCACGGAACTCTTCGGTAGATATATTAACTTTTCAACGGTCCGGGTGCGACTGTGAATAAAGTAGTGCTACGCGGAGTTTTTTATTGACACACTTTGATTAAGGTTTTTAATATAGATGAGTTATGTTATTATGATTATTAAAAAAGTACACACATTTATAAATAAATTCGACCTAATCTTATTTCCATTTAGAAACCAACCAATGGTAAATGTTATGTCGTTCAGGAGCGGCTATTGGTGCAATCTGCATAATGCAATAAACAAGCTGTTAAAAAGTTACACATTTCTATAAATATGGACCTAAACAAATAACGATGTTACTATGCCTACTCCAAGCCGCCTAGTAAAAATGACAGCAAATTGTTTTTTTTTCAAAAAGATTTTTATTTATATCTTTTGGAACAAAATAAAGTAGAGGACTTTTTTAAGGATAACCATTTCAGTTCTTGACTGTGGGGTACGGTTGACAGTTTTAGTTCGCGAATAGGTGCGCAATATAGCACTTCAAATGTGCTTTAACACGATTCACAGGTAAATAATAAATATCTTAGATTATAATACCTACATTTACAATACATAAATAACAATGAAAATCTATTAAAAGAAGAAAACCTATGACTCTATGGTGTAGTAAGAAAGAAAAGCAAGAAAGAAAGAATTCATTACAATAATGTGCTTACACTTATTAATGTTTCTGATAAATAATAAACTAGTGTAAAATTAAGTAGTACTTATATTATTATCAATATCTGTTTAAAATTCAACTGTCAAACACTGTTTTTGATTAATAACGTACACTTCATAAAAAAGAAAGCGAAATTTGTTTAATATATTATAATAGTTGAATTAGCGTAGGCGTATGAGCGCATCGCATGTTAACGTAATTATATAGTATAACAAGTGGTCATTATAAAACAAATTTTATGATCAAACACGGAATAGGTAAGCATGACGCTTAATAAATGAATTTAAAAAGGTAACACTATCTCACGCGCTGTTAATTTACGTCATTCTCTTAGAGATAATGATGGTATTCCTTATTCATAGTTCGTAATTTGATTAATAATTCGAGTTAAGTAGTAGGTATTACTTCCGCACATTCGGTAACAGTGCGTGAAAATGTTTTATGGCATAATATACTCAGAGCCGTCATTTTATTTTGCTACATTAAGTCACGTTGTCTTAAACAGTCTACTGTTGTCGTCATGGAGGTTAGAGAAAGAGAACGATCGCTACGTGCTAAAGCATTAGCCCGCTAGTCCCCTGAAAATTTTTAGAATTTATAGTTCATTTTTCAGCCACCAACCGCGCTAGCATCAGTAAGTAGTCTCTGTGAAGTTAGCTGTTTATGAGTCAAAGTAGATGAAGTTAGTTGAATAATGTACAAATTTCGAATTAGACAACTTAGCGATCGCAGCGCCTCACTTATTTTGTCCATATTTCTGGGACACTATTTTCTACAGCGATCGTTCTCCTTCTCTCTTACCTCCATGGTTATCGCAAAGAAGTTGACAGCAGTACATTCTGAACATTATTTTGTAAATCTATTCTATTCTTTACTTTTCTGTCGCTCTTTTCCATTGTGGCTAGAATGAGTGAACGCCACCAGCGGGTAAAAAACCGCCGTACCTTTATAACCTTTTCAAATTCATAGAAAAAACATCTTTCTTTGAAGTAATTTTATATAGACACACTGTTTATAATAAATAATGATAGGTTACCTTCTTAATATTGTTCTAAAATCTAAGGATATAATTATAATGTATAATACCGAATAATAGAAATAGGTCCACTTGCACCAAAGTTCTTACACCAAATTATAAAGTATATCTTGTTTAAGCCCTATTCTATCCCTATTTGACTTATAACAATCGAGAAATATGGAACGACTTCTTAAACAGAATTAAGCCTTAATTTGAGTAAAGTTTTTTTTTGCAAGTGGGCCTTTATTATGTTACCTAAGTACATACCTACCAAATTATATGTTTTAAACAACATTATCTATTGCAGAATCTATTTACATAAAAGCTTCCACTCACAGGCACTCCAGTGATGGCGATCTGGTGCATGGAATCATTGACGCACTTCAACACCACGAGCATGCAGTCCAGCGCCTGTTGTAGACCCGTCGTCATGGAACCGCACTCGCTGTATCGCAGCAAGTCCTTGAAAGTGTAATAAATATATGGTACATTCAATACGTTATTCAATTCGTTAACCCTGACAAAAGCCTAAACAAAAAAACGAGCGAGCCTTACAGTAGTCGCGTATGATGTGTAACATTTCAAACCTCACCTTATTATATAAGTGATAAAAGAAATAAAACCTAATACAAAAGGAATAAGCCATTTGAATATTATATTCTAAAATCAAATCAAATAGCGCGACTTCCTTTTACACACTGCCGTCCCATTTCACTAGATCACTCCCACAAGTTGAAGTTCTAACCGTACATACATATTAAACCCATAGCTCTGTGATGCGCCACAACACGACACATAACTATATTTCTGCCTTTACCGTCTCTTTTACCAACGGTTACGTTCCGTTTTCTACAATAATATCTAAATTTGCAATTAATCATCCCACCCCGTCAAATGTAAAAGCCTCTGCTAAGGTTTTCAGGTTCCATACCGAGTTCCGCAAATGATGACAAAATAATCTAATGAATAAGCCTCTGCTGTTTGTCCATCCCTCAAGAAGAATCCCATCCCATATCTCAAGAATCTTTTAGTATACATATATATATTTTTCATATAACTTGTATTTCTATTGCCTATGGTGTGATGTGATAACAAATAATAAAAATAGTAAGTATGCCTGTACAAGAAACCTGGTTGTTTTGGTGTTCTTTGTTCGACCTTATATTTCAATCATGGTACGGAAGCGAAACCTTAGTTTGGAAGTCCAAATCGCAAGTGGTCGTTTTTTGACAAATTTAAGTTAGCAACTGGATTGCATAGATTTAAGATGGATGAGCTAGCTACACAAAATTTTAAGAATGTTGTTGCAATGTTCTCATTTGCAAAATATTTTGATTATTACATAAGTGTTATAAATGTAAGATCATAAATGGAAATGAGTGCATCGATTTTATATTAAAAACCTTGAACTTTTTAATTTATGGACATTTCGAAGTTACGTCATGATATTGCAAAGATTTTCAAATAAAAATGTGTGTTATTTGAACAGCTGGTCACCGCAAACCGGCCCCGAATAAGTACCACCTCGACCTTCGCTTAATGATAAAGACAGTAAGTTGGTATTAGTATTTTTTAATGCTTTGACATTTGCATGTCGTCGGCCTCACTTACTTGCATCTAGAGGCCTAGAGCTATTTTACGTGAGTAAATTACACACGTCTTTTAAACTGATAATAGCAGTTTAAAAGACGTGTATATTGTATAATTTATATAACTTGAGCGGCTAATAAAAATAAATTAAAATAAGCCTTTATTAAGACATACTTGTTCCACATATTATTACATTTACTTAGCATTATTAATCTGATTGCCCTTTGGAAAAGGTCTCCCCCAGAGCTATGGGCCTCCCTCATTTGCAGGGCTAGGACAACCCAAATAAAAATTGAAATATATGCTATTATTTATCGCGAAATTTTTAGACCAATACGCGATTGAATAATCGGAATATATGAAAACCTAAAACACAGCCTGCAAGTGAAATTTTCGTCTTTCATACCTTGAGGAGGAGCTGGTATTTGGTGATCCGTTGTACTGGCTTCAGTAGATAAGCGGCTAATGGTAGTTTGTGGCCGAGTCGGAGCTGACACGCTTGTAAGAACAGGTGCGTGTCTACCAGGGTCTCTCGTAACCGCTCCGACCGAGGAATGTTCTGGCAATAGTAGCTGTACAACCGGAAGAATGTCTCCCTCTGTGAAGTATAACGTATAAAGTTTGATAAGGTTGTTTAAAGATCATAGTTCAAAGATGCACTTTCCGTTCAGTACCTAGTACCTATTGTAACGTGTACGGAACGGAGAGTGCACTTCATAGGTCTTAGTAAGGGTACTCTGTCATCTGAATGAATTGATAGTTCCTAAACAGAAACGTTGAATGAAATATTCATCAACATTTCATACAAGTACCAAAGAGAAGAACCTTCATGAATTTTTGTTTGGTAAACAGTGGTTATTTACCTTTGAAAATGTAATATGTATATGTATTTAAGTGCACTATTCATGCATCATTAACATGCTTTAACGGTGAAAAGAGTTTTCAATTTGTTAAATGAGCCGTACTAACTATTTGGTCATACCAACTACAACGACCGAAGTGGTTGTGTGAATACGAAAAGAACAATGTCTCGAGAAAAAAGTACATAGTACTAATATAATATCTAATACAATTGTTGATCCTTCGCATTAAGTTAGATATGTTTGTGTTACGAGTGGGTTTGGGTTCATAACCGCAATGCAGAAAAGACCGTGAAATATAGAAACAACTATCGCTCTTATAGTTACATAATAAAGGTATTAGAGTTTATCTAACAAAGAAGCCTTAAATATTGACAAACTCTAAATCTAATCGGATTGGCTTTAATGTAAAATCACCAAAGCAACCAGATTTTCACGTACCTTTTCAACAAAACATAAGGCGACGAGCTCTGTAGCAGATATAGATTGCTCTAGGTCTTTGAGGAATACGTCCTGATGAAATGTAAACAGCTCGTGTAGATTTCCGAAAAGCACATCTGCCTGCCCCACCAGTGCCGCGGGTAGAAGATGTTGGTTCTCTGGTTTTTCAATTTCTTCTTTGTAGCCCTGTTTCCAAATAAAAAAAAATATCAATATATGTATTTAGTAAAACAAATTTATACGTAACCCTCATTTGAATTAAAACAACAACAGCAAGGAGTGAAGATATAAATTCTTCTTACACCGTTGAAATTGCATATTTATATGATAAAATTGCAATGATTAACATTCCACAAAGTAACCGTGACGAAGAAAAAGTGTTAAATGAATATTTAAAACGTGTTGAGATACCGAAGTGATCAGAGATGAACAATTGCTGATTACATCGCACCAATCCTGTAACCGCTTGTCGTAGTCTTCATAAATAGCTTCCAAGCATTCACACTCAGATGGCGATAAAGTATGACCTATTTTCCAAAACTTTTTACTCTTTAGTTTCAGTAGAGTAGAAGTCCAATTACTGAATGTTTGATTTCTGTTCGGAGTCTGGCTTCTGCTATCCTGGCTGCTGCTTTGGTATCTCTTGAAAGCCCCTGAAGCGTAAGTGTTGCTGCCTATGGATTTCAGACATTTACTTGGCTTTCTATATGATAGAGTCGAATGTAAACTTCTGACGTAACTGGAAGTATTACTTCTGCGACAAAGAGTTGATCCCCTTTTACTACAGTGAGACACAGATGAGTAATGATCCTTTATGGTATGATTCCATTCTTTCATTATCCTCTTGTAGTCACTGAGAATTTTTAACAACACATCTTCAGATTCTTTATTAGAACACATAGTTTGCCTTAGTTCCGAACAACTTGAAGATTTCAATTGTGAGTCTTTAGACGCACACGACGTGGAGGAATACTCAGGAGTTGGAATTTGAACATCTGCTTCGAGGCAACCATACAAAGGATTCTTGACATATTCAGGAGCATCAACGACCGTGGCAGCTGTCGTGAGAGTGCTCTCAGCGGTGTTGTCCTCGGACGCAGTAATAATATCTGAATCAGGTAAGTAAATAATCTTCTCCTCGGTTCTTTGCGCATACTCGTATCCGGTCAACGGTTTGCCGTAAAAAAAATTACCAACGAACGGCTCCACATAAACTGGTTTGCATTGCTGCAGATCACACTTAACACGTTTGTTTTTACTGACATCACTCACGGATTTCTTGCACTTTTTACTGACGTCACTCACGGATTTCTTGCACTTTTTACTGTTGCTACACTTTTCCTTTTCGAACAGGGGCAGTTGATTAGCGTAATCACTGAAAAGCGTGGAATCGGACGCGGATCTAGTTAGCTTCTTCTTCTTCCGTGTGGTAGTGTTATCGCTTTTTTTATAGTACCAAGAGTAAGATGTGCCGACGCTCAAGTTCGCGGACGATTTATGGAGGTCATATTTTCCATATTTCATGGTGCAGCGAGCGACGAAGTGTAACACGCGAATGAAAGACGGCCACAGAGTGCAGTAGGCGGCTGCGTATGGGGCATCGCGTTCCGCTCTGCAGCGCGTTCGTGAGGCTGGCATGCATTAAGTCGACTTGTTCGTGACTGCCTGCTAGTACGGAACCCAAGTGCAGTGTGTCCCACTTACATTACAATGGCATATTTAATTTTCAGAGCGCGTAATGGAGCATCAGATGGAGATATCTAACGCATTTTTAAACTAATCGTGTGTGGCTGCTACATCTCACTTTGAAGAATGAGTAACAACATTGGTACAACAAAATAATGATTTAACAGTTATATCATAATTCTACGCTTGTACGAGTATTATCTGACTTGACATTTATTTTTGCAACAGGAAAACATGGTTAAATAAACTGAGAGATAGCACTTAGCCGGAGCGGATGTTATGCTCAAATTATTAGCGCCTATTTGGGGATAAAAGGCATCTATCATCTTATCGAAGGAAGCATGGTACACAAGGTCGCAAGCGCCTATACAGGTTTCTTTCCACCAGGAGAGTCTTCTTTTATTGGTACGGAATGTCTGTTTGAATTATCAGCGCCTATTTTGGTTAAAAGGCACCTATCATCTTATCCAAGGTTGCACGGTGTCTCGGAGTATGCGCGTGATATTCCTGGTCGCAAGCGTCTATATGGGCCACTTTCCATCAGGCGAGCTTTCTTCTTGATATCATATCATATCAGTCAGACACTCACGTTGAGTATGGACCCCAGTTCCTGCACGTAGACCCGCTCCGTCTGCAGTAGTTCGGCGAGCACGTGGCCGCGCCGTGACCGCCGCGCCTCCGCGTCCTCGCCGCCGGAGCTCTCGGACCCGCCAGAGGTCTCCATCTAGACAACAACAAATATACCATGTTATTCACTCCAAAATACATATTAGCTTTCGATTTGACTCTTAAAATACTAGCTTTCACCTACGACTTCGTCCGCGTTAATTTTTGAATTAGGTCCAAAGAGATTATATTTTAATACTTAATACTTATAAAACAGGATCATTAACATATTTTTTACCCCGCTTCGCTTATTTATCTTTAACAGTACCTATTTTTGCCAAATTATTGTTATTATTTAATACTAATGGCCCGCCCTTGCTTCGATTCGGTGTACAGCTGCTGTAGTGTAGACTATGGTTTTTGTTATCGTTCTTTTGTATTTAAACACAATTTTTTGGTTGAACGCGTTAATCTCAGGAAATACTCATCCGATTTGAGAAATTCTTTTAGTGTTGTATAGTGCATGTATTACAGAATTATTTCCCTTTAAAAGTTATTTAAAAAAGTCCGCGACAGCATATTATGTCCATCTTTTAAGTTTGACTCACTGTAACTTTTTTCCTCAAATAACGCGGGTGAAACCGCAGGCGACCTCTTATTGTGACATAACTGAAATAATTAGACGTATGGTGTAACGGATGTTTTTGCAGATATTGATGTCTTCTATAAAACTTCTGTACATCACTTTGCTCTATTGACTATATGATATATAGTAGGTAGGTTGGTATATTACTCTATGACTTCCGCAGCGTAAGCGATAAAAGGTTAATTTTTGGTATTTATTTCACACGTTGGGTTACATTATCGAAGTTTTTATACGGAAACCTAACTTTTTTTGAAATACTCTATAGCCTATGTTCATTCGGGATCTGTCCCGTAGTTTCAGAACTTATTCAATACAAACAAAGAATCAAATCTTTCCTCTTTATAATATTAGTACAGACTAGCGGCCGTCCGCGACTTTTTCCATGAAAACTTTAGGTTTTTTGGGTATCCCCCAAAATTTTATATTCTATTTTAGTATCCTATGTCTCAATCCAGATAATACATTATGAATGTGTGTCTTGCATCCAATTCCGCTGAGACATTTTTGCGAGATTGAGTAACAAACATTATAGACATTTCTAATATTACTAGCTGTGCCCCGCGATGTTACCCGCGGTTTATTAGGGATATTTTCCTGCAGTAAAACGTAGCCTGTGTTAATCCAGGGTGTCTGCTAGCTCCATACCATATTTTATTAAAATCGCCCTAGCCGTTAAGACGTGAAGAAGTACCAAACATACACACACACACACACACACACTCACAAACTTTCGCCTTTATAATATTAGTGTGATTAGGTTCAGAAGAATACCCACAATTTGTTCCATGCAAATTTAAGGGCCCCGTTTTATCCCTAGGAGGTGGAACTGACGATCAAAATATCCTTCCTTATTCCTTGTTTACGACATAAAAAAACCCTATGTTAAATTTCAGCTTTCTAGTTCCCAGAGTTTGAACTGGTTGTTGACTCGTCAGCCCGTCAGCATCAGTGACTTATTAATATACTTAGAAGATAATTAAGTGCCAATTATTATTATACATACATAATATAATTATGTACCTTAAATATTAATACTAAATAACTAGCAGCCGCCCGCGACTTTGTCCGCGTTAACTTTAGTTTTTTGAGAATCTCACAGGATCCAGGACCCAGAATTTTCCGTGACAAAAAGTATCCTATGTATCTCAATCTAGGTCATACACTATGTGCGTACCAAATTTCATTCAAATCCGTTTGGAAGTTTTTGCGTGATTGAGTAACAATGATACAAACTTTCACATTTTAATCTCAGACCAAGAAAAAAGATTTTAATATTAGTAGTTAGTACACTACTAATATTAAAATCTTTTTTCTTGGTATATTGGATTAGACCAAAGAAAAAAATACGTTTTTGACTTGTAAAGTGTAAGGTAATTAGAAACCGCATAATAATATTAACAACGATACATACTTAAATATGCAGTGGCAGTGAGTTAGTATTATATTTTATGAAGATAGTTTCAGTTAAATTCTTGAGCACCTGTTTTAAGCATGTGGTCATTGACTTTAGTTAATTGCATATAAAGTACATGACTTTACGACTCGTAATTTGCGGTAATTTGAGAAACAGTTAAATGGTATGCAGCATTAAAATATTTCTAGATAATTTATTTTGTGTCTAGAAGCGCGCACATATTTTTTGACATTTTTATAAAATGTCACTAAGAAGTATAGATTAACAATTTTCTTTCTCTTTGGTCAATAGTGTGCCCTTGGCCATGGACTTATTATATATAATAAGTGGTATGGACTTATTATATATAATAAGTCCATACCTATGGCATATTTATGGACTCATTACATGATACAAGTACCATAGTATCCATACTAATCTCAGATAAAAAGAAGCAACAAAGGTTTTTATTTGTTGTATCTATTAATAGGAATAAACAGGCCTTAACGCAATGCCATACATAACTTTAAAAACAAATTCATCAAACAGAATTGATTTTATTCGTAAATAAAGAACTGATAAGCTTCGGACACGTGTTACAGTAGTAACGGTTTCAATTCCTTGTCTTTTACTACTCATCCAATAAAGAAATAAACTATTTTCGCTTTTAAGTTAGTGCAATCTTATCGGTTTTCGCATAAATTCTACGAAAAATGTTAAGCTAAGAGATAAGAAATTGTAAAATTCACGAAAATCCTACAAACTTACTAGTTTATGTTGTTGTTCCGAGAAATCTTTGACGATTTTATATCCAGTTTTCAACACAACGTTTATCGTATCCATATCGTATAAGTTAAGTCATCACTCATTTTATAACACTACACGTGCAAATAATTTTTCCCGCATTTATCTCACACAAAACACAACAGTTTATCAAAACATACAACCGAAATTGGAAAAATATATCAATTTATTTCACGATAGCAACTCGTTTCGGTCATTTGAGTGTTCAATAAAGCACAAAACAGTAAAAAATGTTCTTTGCTTCGTACAAGAAACTATGTTACTTGGAAATAACTTGTGAGGTGTAGTTATAAACACAACAGCACCGCGCACATGCTGCGTTCGGTAAGAACAAGGAACCGACGGGATGCAAGGGGCGCGGGAATACGTTGGGATCGTAAAAAAAAAGTGGTTGAACCCACTTTGTGAGGCGAAACTGGCGCGCCGGCTGCTCTACTTTATTTATGAGGCTTTCGGGGACGCGACGGACTTACGTACGGCTAGTTGAAACTAAAGCTCCAGAACAATAATCGTAGTTATGTTCTGTTGTAAAGCTTTTGGAACTTCATACTTTTATAGAAATCTGTATGGAGAATTTGTTCAAGCATGAGACACAAGAGAATTAACACCTACTTCATTAATTATTTTTTATTTAATTTAACATCATAGGTCAATTCATGTAGAAAAACAATAACAGATATAGAATGAAAAAGCACAATAGTTTTATGATTTATAAAAAATGAATTTAATTGAATTACCAGTGTATAACATTACTATAACGTATATAATAATTACTATAACGTAGATAGCACGCTTCACCGACTGCGTGAGATGTTTTACTTATTTATTGCATTTTTTTAGTATAGAAGCAAATAATATTAATTAATATCAAGAGCATGCCAATAGTCCACATAAAACAGCCAACTTTTTACTATACTACTATACTACTACTAACTTATTACTATTTTCAATACAAACGTTGCGATTTGCAAAAAGTCTAGTTTTATCAATATTGTTTCATAGTGGTGTACCATTCTTGCTCTGCCTAGTCCTTAAACTCCACCTTACAAAAGAGCACAGTAAAAAAAATACTACCTGTCTTTTGGCAGTATTGTGTGTCTGTTGGTGACCAAATCCTGAGATCCTGTATATCTCCCTCCAACTCTTTTGCGTAATAGCGCTGTCCCGCACGCTGGATCCAGCAAGATGGTTGGAGGTGCGTAAAGGACTTAAGGTTTCAATGCTGAACGGGATAAAGGATTACATTCAGGCCAGCAAATTGGCAAACTTCTCTGCTGCTTCAGCAATCTTTGCGACAGAACTCCACATAAAACTTATCTTGGCGGACCTTGGAAGGTTGAGTAACATTTGAGCAGAAATATCAGCCCTTTTAAAGGGCGAGTCTGTTACTTGTACAGCCAACATCAACATAAGGTTATCATTAACTATCGAATATGAGCTTTATGTCATCCTCCGTTGATATTAAAAATCGTTTGAAATGTTTCATGTTGAGTTTACGTTACGTTAGTTTCCTACAAAACTGATCCTGTGTGTATCTTGTTCTTATCTTTGGAACGGTAGACACTAGTAGGTAGGTTTCTTATGCGAATATTTTGATGATAAAGTATTTAAATGATCAAGGAAGCTTTTAACTTTAGAAATAGGTACCTGTGGTCTCTTTTTTTATACATAATTTCATATAACAAAATATGGGAGTAGAAATTAGTAAGTAGAATTTATTAGTAGTTATAGTTTTTTAGATGTAGTATAGTACGTTACTAATAAATCGGTCCCATTATCAGCTTACATTACAAACGTTATTACTAAAATATCTTATGATTAAAGAGCTTTCCTTCAGCATGATAATATAAGTAGGTGTATAATTTACTTCATATTAGGATAAATAAGTGTAAGTAATAAATAAATAATATTTTAATATATGAACTAAGAAACATCGTTCACTTGTAATGCAATAATTAAGTTCTGGGTAATGGCAGAAACTATCCGTATCCTACTAATATTTTAGATGTGAAAGTTTGTATGCTTGTAACTGAAACACACAAAAATTACAGTATAGATATGGATAGCAACATATGATAATTGAAAAATGTTAGGTTCCGATCCTGATGGGATTCTCAAATACTAATAATAACGCAGATGCAAGCTAGTGACTCTATAATCAAGTGAACCACTGGGTTATAGAGTTACTAGCAAGATATATAACAAAAATAATAGACAGGACAGAATGTGGGTATAGGGATGTGGACACACCTGCAAGGTTGGTTTATTTTATATT